TTTATACGTACATGAATATATACATACATTCATACATAGATGAATTGCGCTGGTGAAGGGCGGCGGTTGGCCGCCCCGCCCCAGGGGAGTTGGGGCAGGGGGAGGGGTCTCGCCGGCAGCACCGCCTGCATTTCCCGCGAGACAAGCGGTCACTAACTAAACCAGCGCAGCCAGCAGCGAGCAGCGTCGCCGGCGCGGCTACGACAAACACGGCGCCACTCCCGCGGCGAAAGGGCAGCTCTCGTGACCGCCTCCGCCTCGGGCGAGCGAGCAGCGCTCTCAGATTCTGCGCCCCTCCAGCCTTCCGTCTCCCAGCCTCCCGTCTCGTGTGCCGGACAGAGCGCTGTGTGTCGCCCGCAGGCTCACGCGTTCCGGCCAACGCACACACACACAACGCGTTCACGCGTTGTGTGTGTGTGTGTGTGTGTGTGTGTGTGTGTGTGTGTGTGTGTGTGTGTGTGCGTGTGTGTGCGTGTGTGTGTGTGTGTGTGTGTGTGTGTGTGTGTGTGTGTGTGTGTGTGTGTGTGTGTGTGTGTGTGTGTGTGTGTGTGTGTGTGTGTGTGTGTGTGTGTGTGTGTGTGTGTGTGTGTGCGTTTTGCACCTGCAGTGTACATGTATGCAATGCTTCGGATTGTTCGTCTCATGTTGTCATAAAACACGTGCGCAGTTTTGCGTCTGTGTTTCATCATGTTTCGTCGCGCTCATGGCGTTAACAAGTTCGTGGTCACTGAACGATGTCGTCACCGATTGTTCGCCATCGCAATGTTAGACAGTAAGATTGCTCAGCTAAGCTATGCTGCGCTGCTTTTCGAACGACGTCCCTACCAGACTCTACCTGACTTGAAGAACCGGTGGGAACACAGGCAGGTTCATTCTGTTGATGAATGGCGATTGATGGGCTATTGAACAGCGTTTCATCAAAACACAGCTTCAGCGTAATCACAGTCATGCAAGTCATTGGGCCACTTCGGCCTGGCCCCGTGACATGGCTGTGAGCGTTTGTGTGAGTCCACACGTCAGACGAACATTTTATGGCCACTGATGTGGCCGGTTTGGTTGAAGCGCGATTGAGAAGCGCACCTCGCCTGAGGCCATCCGATGATCCGCCGCGGCACGGTCTGCTCTGAGGTGGCTGACTGTGTCCAGGCCCCTGAGCGCTGGTGGGTAACCTTTGGTCAGATTGTGGGTCAGTGACCCGCCCGAGCCGCGGTCAAATGTAATTTCGTTAAAATGTCGTGGGCCCAGGCGCTGCCATGGCCCGGCACCGCTTGAGATTTATACGTAACATTGGGAAACCTTAGAACAGTGGTTTCGCCCGTAACAGCCCAATAAACTGGGAGTCTCCAAATAAATAGACCTTGCTCGTGCCTGGATGCCGCTTTACCACGCCGGCGCCGACAGATTAAACCCGGCGAAGCACTGATCGGCGCTCCGATACTGCGCCGGCTGAATCAAACCACCAATCACGCGCGGCGGCGAACGGGCCGCCTGCAGCCGGTCGAACCACCCTCACCCGTCATGTGTACGCGCGCCGATAAATGCCGGTACAGATCAGTTATTTAACGTTGTGTGCTTGCGTGGCTGGGACGGCATGAGACTACGGCTGTTCCGACGACGCTGGAGTTCGGCGCGGAGGGGGAGGCGGGGGGGGGGAGGGACGTCAACGCCGCTGGAACGTGACGCGTGCTGGACAACCTGGAGCGATCTGTCATGACCCACGTCCAGATCGAATATCGAGCAGTGGGTTCCGCAGACACGGCTCCAGCCAGCCGGCGGGCCTAGGGGAAGGGGAAGGGGAGCGGGACGCGCCGAGATGGGCAGCCAGTGACTCTGAAAGGTCTACAGGCCATATATTTCGCTTGCCGGGGACACGGTGTTCCACAAATTGCTATAAGTATTACGGATGCTCATTGCGAAATGGAGTTAACAGTGTAAGGTTAAGGTTAGCTATGGGCAGCTGGCATTCACACCGGTGTGACGTCATGGATAAATACAACACTGATCTGAACGAAGCCAAGGGCCCAATCAACTGAAACTCGGCCCGTAGTTGAGCATGTTGGCAACCTTGAGCTTGAACATGATTAGCTGCCTCAACTGAGTCCTCGTACTTCCAAACGTCTGACGGCGACAAGTCGAAAACGCGAAAACTCGTGGGCGCACGCTGCTTGAGGCCACTTGGGATTCCACGGACAGCCGAGCGTCCAGTGCCACCCGCCGGTGTTTATCAACATCGATCGACGCCTTTCAGACATCGCCGATAGCCGCCTTATAATCAGCTTCGTCGTCCCCGCGTGGCAGCCAGCGCAGGAGATGGGAGATGTCTGGGAGATGTCTGGGAGATGTCGCTTAAATGGCCCGACATGTTAAATGCGTCATGAAACAGCAACAATTTTGATTATTATTTCAGCGCTTTCGTAACCATCTTACGAGGCAGCTGTTTCTGAGTCGGTCCTGGGCCGAGTGCATGATTTGATATTTGTGCGGCTTACCCTGCACGCGACGTAATGCCATTTGAGGCTGTTTACGATGTGGAAACGCTGCTAACAACCCAAACGCCCCGCGTAATCGCTGCCAATTACCAGACGTGGCACAGAGCCGTCAGATCCGTTGATCCAGATCCGTCTGCACCTGCAAACATTGCGCTGACGTAGTCTGTTGGTGTGACCTGATTAACCAGGACACGCCTTGATCCAGCTGAGCGGCAGCGTACATGCGAGGGCGCTCCGGATCCGCGAGCTAATCAGTGTCGTCAGGGCTAAGCTGTCGGCACACGCGAGCTTGACTGTAGTGACATGAGTGACGCCGGGGCCTGCGGACCACCGCACGGTGTCGGTGAAGCAGCGGCGTCCAGGAGTGGCGTCCGACACGCGTCTGTTTCGGAAGCCGCACACCGCACACCGCACTTAAGCACACCGCACACCGCACCTGAGCACACTGCCCCCCAATCCTGCACATTGCACACCGCACTCCAGCACACCGCAGTCTAACACACCGCACACCGCACACCGCACTCCAGCACACCGCCGTCGCCGTGCGAGTGGATAGATGCGGGCAATGGCGGCACGCTCTGCGACCGACAAACGTGCCGCCGTCCCGCACAGCCACGCGCCGAGGGAAGCGCCAGGAAGCGTGTGTGGAACATGCTGCCAGTGGTCACGCCCGTGAACGATCTGTGAGGCCCGAGACGTGACTGATTACGAACACAGACGCGTGACCACGAGGGGTCGTCGCAAAGCGACGCCGCGAACAATGGTCGTCGTATCGCTGGGGTCGACCCCAGCCGCTGCCCTCGCGCAGGGGCTCCGCTCCCCCCCCCCCCCCCCCCCTGCAGGCCACATCCTGCCTGACCCGGCGCGGGTGAGCTGACGTCCAGCTGCCGCGTGACGTCACGGGACTCAAGGCTGGCGTGCGGGCGGCGGCCGAGCGCGCGGCGCGAGCGGCAGTGGACCGCGCGCCCGCGCGCTGGGGAGACGGCGCGGCGGCGGCCTACGCTCTGGCCGGAGACGGACGCGAGGCCGGCCGGCTGGGTGTGCGTGTGCGACTGCGGACGCCGGTGGCGAGTTTGACGGCGTCGGTCTGCGGAGCGGGGCAGACTCGGTGGACACAAGCAGACGCGAGACAGAGGGGCAGACAGAAGCAGCGCGAGTCGTCGGTGCGCCGTGTTCTGACCCGGCGCGACCCAACCGGTCCGGCACCCAGCCCGACGGCGCCGACGACGACTTGCCGGATACGCGTGATCGGGTCTGGTCTGTGTGTCGTCCGCGTGTCTGCGCAGGCATTCGACGCTCCTCAGTGGTTAGGAAAGGCGAGCACGCCGTCCGACCGCGGCCCGCCCGGGGGCTGCCGGCCGCGGCGAAAGCCACCGCCGCGGGGGCGAGCCAGCCAGGCCTACTGGGCTGACTGCGGGCGCGGGCGCGCGCAGGACGTCTCGCGTGATTTCAGCGGCCGTCCGCCGCCGCGAAACTGGGACCGCTGGGCTGGTGACTGCTCAGACGCCCGGGCGCCGCTGACGGGTGGTTTATCGCCCGCCGGGCGCGGACCAGCCGCACGCTGCTGAGGACCTGCGGACCAGCCGCCCGCTGCTGAGGACTTGCGAACCAGTGTGGATTGGCTGCTGCTGAGGACTTGCGGACCAGTGTGGACCGACTGCTGCTGAGGACCTGCGGACCAGTGTGTACCGACTGCTGCTGAGGACCTGCGGACCAGTGGGGACCGATTGCTGCTGAGGACCTGCGGACCAGTGTCGGTGGCCGCGGGCCGACGCTGTGCTGAACTCTCTCGACGCGCGCTGAAGGCGCCGGGTGCGGTTCCGATCTCGGAGTGGGCTCATTGATAGCCGGCCTCGGGGTGTCGACCGCTCAGCGAGGCGGAACGCGCTCGCCGGTGACCCAGTGACCTGTGTGCGCCCGCCGTCGCGACCTTGCGGCGTGGCGACCCCACCCCGCCCGTACGGTCACGCTTAGGCCGCGCGGCTCGGTCGACACCGACGCCCTGGAGCCAAGCCCGCGCCGCCGGCGGTCCATGCCGCGCCTACCGTGGCCGGCCGGTGACCGGCTGCGCAGCCGGCCGCCCGAGGGTGCGCCGGGTCAGCAGGTCAAACCGCCCGAGGCGGGGCTGGGCCGACGCGCGCGGCCGCCGGACGCTCGACTGAGTCTGCGCGCCAGACCGCCGGAGGGCAGCTCGCGGCTCATCTCGCGTCTGGCCGAGCCGTTCAAGGCGCGCCTGCGACGGCAGCGCAGCCCGCCCGGCCAGGCCCGCCTGACGCGCACACAGAGTGTGACCTTGACCCCGGCCGGCGGTGGTGTGCAGCGGCGCAGCAGCTTCCAGGAGCGGCTGCGCCGCCTGGAGCGGCCCTTCGCGCGCCGCCGGCCACTGGCTGAGGAGGGCGCGGCGGGGCTGGACCAGGGCGGGGACGGTGGTGATGGCGGCGGCGGCGGCGGAGGCGGCGGAGACTGGAGAGGGGGCGCGGCGGGGCTTGGCGGGGCGCAGGAGACGGCCAAGCGACAGGGGGCAGCAGAGATACGCCGCCGGGTGCCAGTCGTCGCTTACGCCGCAGTCGCGCGCACGCCGCGTCTCATCGTCGGAAGCGGCCGTCCTGGCGACTTCTACGATGATCTCAGCAGTGACATGGGCAGCGAACATGGTGACCTTGATGATATGGGTGACTTCGTTGACCTCCGCCACGGTGTGAGTGATCTTGGTGGTCTTAGCTTCAATTTTGGCAAGCTGGACAACCTCGGCCGCGACTTAGACGGCCCCGGCGAGACGGGAGACCTCCGGACGCCGGCGGAGCGGCCCCGCACTATGTCAGACCTGCTAGAGCTGTATGCAGAGGCAGGGCCGCGGCGCACGAGCGCCAGAAGCGGCCGCTCAGGATCCTCCGAACTGTTGCCGAGCGGCCGACCGGAAGCGGAACACCGGAAACGTAGGTGGAGATACAGCTGCGGCGGCACGGCGGCGGCCGACGCCGTCGCGCCCGCCCAGGCGCCGCGAGGTCAGGGGTCAGCTATTGCGTGCCTCTCGGGTCGGGTCCGCTGTGAGGCGTTCATCGTGCGGCGCCGACGCCTCTGGCGCGGTGGCGCACGCCCGGGTGACGCTTCTCCGCAGTCTTCTGGGAACGACGTGAACCCTCGCTGAGATAGGGGTCGTTGTGTTGTGGATTGGGGACTGGGGTTGCCGCTGGTCGAGCGGAGTGGAGCGTTGATCGGGGTCCTGCCCGTCCCACCACTGCAGTCATGTTTAGGACTTGCATCTGATCTTCGGCGCTGTTTTGTTGTTGTTTTGTTTGTCCTTTTCTGTGGTCTTAATGTCCCACATTTGTGTGAACGGGATAGCCTCAGCAGTACCCAAACATCAGCAGCCGGGTGTGTTTTCGCTCCAGGATCCACGCGCACGTGGCGTCAAACTGCAGCAGTACGTGAAATCACAGCCTCGGCTGCCTTTACCCGCACATCCCCGCGCCCTGGCTCGTCGTATACCAGGCTTGGCCATATTGAGATCGCCCTCATTTTCCCCGTTATTGGACATGGCAGGCCTGTCATTAATTATGAGCGCGGCGGCGCGACGGGCTTCTGGTTGACGAGCTGACGAAGCGGGCTGAGCCGCCGCCGGCGGAAATTCGCTGCGAGCCACGTGGAAATGGCGCCTGTTTGGCCGGAACGCGTGAGCCTCCGAGCGACGCAGTGCTCTGTCCGGCACACGAGACAGGAGGCTGGGAGACGGGAGGCTGGAGGGGCGCACGATCTGAGAGCGCTGCTCGCTCGCCCGAGGCGGAGGCGGTCACGAGAGCTGCCCTCTCCGCGGGAGTGGCGCCGTGTTTGTCGCAGCCGCGCCGGCGACGCCGTTCACTGCTGGCCGCGCTGGTTTAGTGGCCGCTTGTCCCGCGGGAAATGCAGGCGGAGTTGCCGACGAGACCCCTCCCCGTGCCCTCGCTCCCCGGGGGCGGGGTGGCCAACCGCCTGCGCTGAATTCGAATGAGTGACGGTGGCCGCTGAATGGAGAACGATTCAGACTGGGCAGTTACAGATGGGGCCTTTGCTTGTTGATGCCGACGCTGCCGCCCAGGCCTCCGCGTAGCATTGGGGATGATCTCAAAGGCGCGAGGTAAACATGCCGGCGACGAACTTCGGAAACGCTCGAAGTCGCTTTACGGAATCGACTTGAGGCGAGGTCCCAGTGCAGAAAAAAAACATCTCAATTCGCGCCACAGCGAGACGGGATCCCCGGATCGGGATCCTCGTCGCCTATTTTGCCGCGAGCTCGATGCATTTTCCCAGCCTGATGCAACCGGTTTTCCAAACAAGCTGCGGCCAGGCTGAAATTCCTCATGGAGGATTCTGACCTGGCGGATATGAAGGTCCGCTATATGGCATGCTGTCTGTATGCAAGCATGACGCTGGAAACGCTACTGACGGGTTCAACCCGATGCAGACGTTTTGCGCACGTGTGGTGTCGTGCATCTCGTGCGGTGTTGTAATGGGTTGCGTGCTGGAGACGTATGCCAGTCTGTGATTATGGCGAGGTGATAGCGTGATGTTGGTTAGTGGGAAACCACGGCTCCAGCGCTGGGCAGCGTGGGGCCGCAGGGCGTCGCCCGGAATAATAGCCGGCGAGAATAGCCCCTTCAGCTGGCTCGGGCGTCATCTCACCGTGTTGTGGGGTGTATTTGAAACACCACGGGTGCGGGTAAATCATCTGTTTGACTTTCCTGTCACTTCGCTGTTTCCAGATGCAAGGTACGAGGTGAATTGTCACGAAAACATACCACATCAATCACCGGAGTATTGCTAAGCCCAGTGTTAAATCAAACGAGCCTTATGCGCACCGTATAAGCGTTCCCACCAGCGAATAACAGGTTAGGTCAACGGCTTGAACGTTTTTAATCAATGTCGCTCGTGTTGACGTGCCTGACACGTGGGCAAGCCGAGGCTGCGGCACTTCCTGCCCTTTTCAATGTTATGTGGTTCCTGGGACTCCCAACGCCTGCCAAGTGGTGACGCACAGACTCAGCACACTACCATGGGCTGCTGTTGAATGTTTTTTTATTGATAACGGTTGTAGAAGTTGAATACTTTTATTGATAGCAATCAATATGTGATGATCTGTTCGGCATTTCGTTATTCGGGCAGGGCTGGGCATGGCGCCGCCCAGCGCTATGACAAGGTCGCCGGGTGTCAGATGGGCCGTTTGTGGCCCGTCTCCCGTCGATCTATCCTGGACGGTCGGGCCGAGCAATGTGCCAGGTCCGGGACTCCAACCCAGTGCCGTGGGCTTGAGTCCAGCAGCAGTTCCTTGCTGCTGTCTCCAGACCACGGCGGCGGCAAATGTGGAGAAAGGGCCGATTCACTGGCTTCGGCTGCTTTCGTCCGTTCGTTTATTGTGTTTTGCGGTTGACCCATTGCCAGAGCATGGCCTCTTGGAAGATAACGTCCTACCGCCTTGGCATTCTCTGCGTGATGTCGCAACATGCGCTCCAATCAGTCTCCAGCGGGATCAGCGCCAAGTGGCGGCGGGACGCTGCGGCGGCGTGATTCCCATGCTGCCAATCACAATCAATGAGGTGGCCATGCGCGGTGCCGTTAGCCTACTTCGTCTGCACAGTTTGGACGGCGCGGCCCGGGTGCGACCACTCTCGCCACATTGCTATCCGGCTCGAGCTGCGCAGGAGTGACCCCGGCAGCGCGCGGCGGAGAGATCGAAGACGAGACGCAGCGGTGCCGTGCGACCCCTGTGACCCCGCTCGTAGAGCTAGGGTGACGGAAGATGACGCACGGGAAGTTGTGATGGGGCCGAGGGAGGTCCGTAGGTTGGTGGGGCCGTGGTGAGGTCACACGAGCGCGGGGGATGGGAGCCAGATTATCTTTAGGTGGTCGTCAACTAGAATATGGCTGTCTCCCCTGACGCCTAGCTGATACAGTGCAGGGAAATCGCCGAGACGGCGTGTTTTTTTCTGGTGTACGGTACACACCAGTGCTGCACCGATCAGCTCCAGATCCAAAGGCGTCGCGTCACGTGGCGTGACCAGAACAGTCACGTGACGAGAGAATGCCAACGCTCTGCCCGCCCTGGCTGACTTGGGCACGCGCAGCTGTGTCGGTAACACCTGTCTGTGACGTCGGACAGCGGGCCCAGGCGTTCGCCACTACCTCTTTGTCCCCGCGTCAGGGTATTCTGGCGATTATTGTTTTAAGAGGCCCCCTGTCAGCGCCACGAACGGCGAACGTTTCACTCGTTGTGCATTTTGTTCGTCTGTAAGGCTGGCATGACCTTCTGCCAGTTTGTACCAGTTTGTAAGTGCCAGCTGCTGCTCTTCTGAGATGCCTGGAGCGTCCGGCGCCCGTGGGCTGATATAGTTGTTATTCTGTCCGCAGGATGGCGCCAGGGGAGCATGGAGGTCCTGGTGGACGGGCTGAACATGACAAAGTCGGAACGGAAGCGGTTGGAGAAGCTCAGCAAGATCAATATCCATCTGCACGGTGCGTGGATTCTCAATGGGAACTGCCGACACGTGATCCGCCGTTCTGCTTTGCTCTGGCTGCTGGCTGGCATCAAAATATTCGTTCCGTTAGCTCAGCCAATGTGTTTCTTCCCGGTCCTATTACCTTTCCAGATTAGCATATAGAGATGTCGGGCGTTGTTATGTACAACGCACCCCGTTTTGGAGAAATGCGTTGTGGGTACGCGACGCCACGTTTGAGTTCGATTTCAAAACGAGATCTACGCGCGGCAAATGCGCATCAATTTCATTTACATCCGTCGTGATGCTTCTTGCTTGCGTTGTTTTTGTCATAAGTATACTGGCATCGAATTTTAAGGTAATCGTGAGACAAGTGCTAGCAGATTTATCCTTGTCGTATCGAGTATATTTTCTGGCACGAAGGAAATTACTGTTTCAAAACTCTAAATATTATATGGGGGTTGCGAAGTCTTGTTGCATGACTTGCCGATTTATAAGCCTTGCATTTACACTGAGCTGGACGGCCTTGTAGGCACAGTTTAGTTTTTAGCCTTCTATAAATTTCCGAACCTTTTGCTTGGATTGATTTCTTGGATCAGCATCCAAGGTAAGCAGTTCATGTTGCCTGAGCCCTGACCCCCCCCCCCCCCCCCCGATTGTAAAGCTCCGGCTCGACGGCAGAATTTTGCGGCCTACGCTTTAAGTGCCGCTACGATCGGCAACGGTTCATCAGGCTTTCTGATCTCGCCTTACCTTTAAGCTGGTCGCTGCCACCGGCTGCGGGCCATTCCAGCCAACGGCAAAAAATGAGCGCCTAAGGCGACTCGAACCCACCCCTCCACGGCCGGATGAATCGGAAGACAGGACACTTGATGTTGTCGGAACGGACATGTTGCTATTATGTTTGAATCACCACGCAGTATCGTGAACCATAGAGGCTTACGTTTGAAGTGGCCATTGGCGGAGCACTGAATTTGAGGTACGGAATGCACGTGTGCAGTACACGTGTTGAATTTTTAAATCGTGCACATTCTGCGTGGTGTGAAAATGAAAAAAATTGGTGTTGAAATAGGTTAAATCGTCAAGCATTTCGCATGTTTGCAATGGTGCGCTCAAATGATAATTGTCGTTTGGCTGTAAGATAGCAAGGTAGCAGCATGCAGCAAACCCCATCTAGAGGAGTGCAGAGCGCTAGGACAAAGGAATGCAGCGCAATTATTTCATTGAGGAAGGAATTCCCACAGAGCTCCAGTTTCATCAACCCTCCATTTGGCGTGCCATTATCTACTGTTTGGTCTAAACTAGTGCATCACTGGTAAGCGCTGACCGACGACGATCTCCAGGATTCTTGAAAATGGCGTGCTTCTGTAAGGCGAGCACGGGGGGGGGGCAGACCAAAGCAGCTTTGGCAGGGTTTGCCCGGATAGCAACTGAACGGCGCATGTGGAACTGGACTGAATCATCGGAAGGGCCGGCGTGGCAGTCAGCTGATAAACATCAATAGTCATGCGATAGACATCAATAGCCACGTCATAAACACCAATAGGCGGCGACACCAGCTACGAATCGCTGGGGCAACGGTATGACCGAAAGAGCGCACTGAGATGACTGAATAGATCCGTCGTTTTCTAACCTTCCTCCCTAACTACGAGCTTTCTGCACGGACGGTTTCATGTAGGGTACTCGGATAGCGAGCAAAGCTGGCTTTTCCGTCGCTCGTGACTTAGTTTGTGTCCACTTTCAAAACGGGGTGCGGTGCTGTGTTATTTCGCTGTGAACGCCAAGTTTCCGCTTTGCTTTGTATGCACTCAGCAGCGAGACAAAACCCTCAACTCATTTCTAGGCCTTTTAAGATTTGCGACCACTTGAGGGGTAGTGGAAATCAGGTGAACAATGAGGATGCTTCATCAAGGCATCACCATCCCAAAGCAAATCGTCAGACACTGAGCGGAAGTACGGCCTCGTCGTCTGCTCATTTTGTTACAGCTTCTGACCCGAGTTTGGTGATAAATAAATGCACAACTTCAAATACCAATTGAGAAAAGGAACACAAGATCGAGAGTCAGCATACAGAAGAAGGAGAGAAACTGTATTAGGACGAAGAAGCCAGAGCGAACTTCCGTGTTGCTAGACGAGAGTGGTCGCTGCTACACCTGCTATGCCCTGTTCTCTTCCCATTAGCATGCCCTTGATCGAAACAAGTTCGCTTACTCCGTATCATGCATTTGCATGACATACGAATACATGTGTTAAGAATCTTCATAAACTCTGGCTCAGGCTTAAGTCATATCACCATGACACTGATATAACGATGCACATACTGAATTATCTATCCTATAATGCAAGGATAACCAGTATACTAGATTGTGCTAGAACTAGAACTTTATAACCAGAAAGGTAGTTATATTGTGCTGCTGTTGACTGCTTAGTGGTGGCAACTTCAACAAATAATAGCCATTAACTGAACGATCCTGTGTCATCCACTCTATGTCTCGAGGACCAGGTCCCAACGTCCAAAAACCTTCAAAAAATAATGGAAGTCCCACCCGTTAGCATCATGCGCAATATGCTGACCCTTCCTAAAGATCAATTTCTCACCATTTCAAACCGAAAGATATATACATTTTCGTATATTTAGATTTCCATACGTTGTTTTTTTCATACGCCTCCATGTTTAAACCCCACTTTCACACCAAACCACCTGATGCACATCAGTCTTGTTTGGTTGGAGAATCTCGGATGAGCTAGTGTGGGGAGTGGACGAAGGCAGTTCAATGCCGGACCGCTGATGTTAGGATTGGTGGTGTCGTTTGACCGCCGCGGCCGGCTTGTCCATTCCCGACCCAAATACACTGACGCTGCGGTGGCTGTGTGTGACGCTGCCGATACCGTGCAGCTTTGGTTCAGCTAAGGCAACTAGCTTTTGAGACACCCTGGTGCTCTTGGTACCCGTGTGTATGTTTTTCAAATGCTTGCCTTAAGATTGGTCATCCTTACATTCCTTTTTCTGACAATATGGTTCTATGCATGAACGGAACGCATTTGTTATCGGTCTAACCCAAGCGAAGTTTACATTTTCCCTTGTGTAACAGCCCACCGTAAACAGGTCTGCATCTCAACCAGTCAGTCAGCCGCGCCTGAGGGCCGCCTTTGTATGGCGTGTCGGCGAGGCCTGGAGGTCGCCGAGACCAACCGAGCTTGACCCGGGTGTGTCGGCGAGGCCTGGAGGTCGCCAAGACCGACCGAGCCTGACCCGGGCGTGCCGTTTTCAGCGTTGTACGCGGCCGTGGAGCACAACCAGCTGGAGAAGGTGCGGGCCATCCTGAAGACGACGGACGTGGACGTCAACAGGTCAGTGGACGTGACGCGGACGTGGACGTGAAGGCCAGTGGACGTGACGTGGACGTGAACGTGAAAAGGCCTGTGCGGCGGCCGATCCTGCCAATGTGCACGGCCGCGCCACTGCGGCCGGACGCGGCAGCGCGGCGAGACGCGCCGGCTGGTGACCTGGCTCCGGGTCGGTGGGGCAGGCCTTCAGGCCATCAGGTCGCGTGATGACGGCGGTGGCAGGTGGCTGACAGGTCGAGAGCAGCCGGGCGGGTCGACCGGCGGCTGATGACGGACGGTTGGCGGGTGGTGACGGGCGGGCCGTGCAGGGCGAAGTTCGGTAGACTGACGCAACATCGGGCAGACGGAATGATGCAATGACAGTGATGTGGGTCCTGGGAATCTCCTGAGCAGGACGTTGTCTGCGCGGCGAGCCTGGGCCCGGTGATGCTGTGCTGCACCGTAAGGATTTTGCAGTTCATGTGAACTGCTGGCTCGGAATTTACCATTGTTAATATATATATTCAAATGCTGGATGCTACATAACTTTGCCGTCGACCTACTTTTCGCACAAACAAATGGCCGCTAGATGTGAATGCGAAGGTGGGTTTTAACGTGATCCATGATTGTACAGCGTGGCAAGGTGTTTGTTACTGTTCACATGGCACAAGGTCAAGTTAAGAGGTCTTACGAGGCTGACGCTCCCCGTGTGGTCAGTGTGTTGCTGTTGCAATGCATCACCGGGTTTACGCTGTCAGCAGTACGGCCACCCATCGGCCCAGCTTCCCGGGCGTATGCACAAGCTGGTTGCGACATCACTCTTGTCTGCGTGCATGGATCGGTCTTTGGCTAACGGCCGTGCTGAGGCATGGGTCTGGTTATAGGCTTTTTAATTCGCATTATGATCAGGTTAAAGCTGCTGAAGTTAAGGTGATGCTTAGTTTGGATAACTTTAAACTAAAAATGTTGAAAATCTAGTGCAACTTTTGCAGGTGCAGATTATCTCAAGGTCAACCAGGCAAAAACGTTACGCAAAAACTGGCACCCTTTTGGTCATGTAGTACTCAATGCCCGGAAAAATAGTATCGAGTTATTCGTGTTTGGTCTACGTCAGCGTGATTTCTGGCATTAACATACTTAAGTTGGACCCCAAGCTTTGCAATGTGCTCAGCGTAGCTTGCATGTACGAATCATGTTTTCTGCTACATCGTACAGAACTTTGGGCAATGGTGCGAGTTATAACGGCAATAAGTCTGGGAATCGAATGACAATGATAACGTTATAACCGAGTATGTGAATGCCAGTAGGCAGTATGAAATCACGGGTTAATATGTCAGAACATCACGAAAAGTGGCCAGAACACGCGCTTTTCGCGATGGTTGGGTTGTGCAAACAACGCACCGAAGAGCACGACACCTCTCAACAAGTTGAAGTTCTATAAGTAAGTTAGCCGGTCCACTGCAGTGGAGACTTCGCACGGCCAGTTTTGTTATCACTCTGACGTCATGCAAACATTCTATGACGCAATCAAGCGATGACGTACGGAGAAGCATATTTACTAAATAGTAAAGTTATGTTGTTTTGAGCAGTCTCTTACATTTGAAGGCATACTGATAGTTACAAGTTAGCTGATTTCTTCACATCTGACGCATGCCTCAATGCCTTCAAATGTGGAATTTTAACCGGGCTGAAATCTGAAAGAATGGTAAAGGCTCTGCCTCAAAATGTTTTCCCGTTTAACATTTGACCGAGGCGGATTCGAAGTCTCGAAAAAAAATGCTTTGGTCAACCAATGCGCTCTTCCCCGCCTTCTATCCCCTGGCCGCCGAGATACGCTGTGTAAGATGTCTCTATGGCGCAGATCGGGTGTCTGAGTGCAGTGACAATCAGCTGGGAGTTGTTTCCTGGGAGACGCGGGTCGCTGCTCCGTATATGAAGAGGCTCTGCCCGCTGTCAGCGTTCTGGGAAGCCTTGATCGAGCGTAGGCGCCAAGCGATTGGTTTGGGACATGCTGTTGCGTCTCAAGCTCGCGTGGAAGGAGGACGTTTGACAATCCCAGTGCCCTAGACGCTGGCGCATTGGCTGTGGTGATCGCGTGAGTGGCGGGGTTTGTAGGGCGGTCCAGTACAGGCTGAACGTGGTCAAAATCTGCATCCTGCTTGTCGATATGTTTGTCGTGTGCATAGGTGTAACCGCCGGGGACATGCCCTCTCCAATTTTATGAAAATGTGTTTTTCCTGTCAGATTTTGCCTTATGAAGGAATCATAAAGTTGTTTTCTTAAACATGCATTATACAGAACGCATGTTTTTCCTTCCATCCGAGGAGTGATTTTTCGGTCAGTTTGTGCTCTCCAAAGTCCAGCTCGACCCCTCCCATCCTAGGTTGTCTCCAAAGGCTAGAGAGGTGATTACAGCCATGGCTAGCAGCAGTCTCTGAGCCATGGCTGGGACCTTGCGCCCTCTTAAATGAATACGTTGCTGCCCAGGCTGTGGATGTGGTACGTAGTGTATGTCACTACCTAAGCATGTATCAAAGCGTATCGATCATTTTCCTTTGTAACCTATTTCTCTTTGGGTGATAAATACTAGGAACATTTCATAAACCCCAAAGGTGATCTTTCAGATTTGTTCGGAATTGGATCAATTTGGTTTGGATCTGTATTTTAAATTGGAATTGAAACTTGCTCAGCCATCTGAATCCTGTACTCTGATCCATTTTAAAGTGAAACTGGAAGCCAGGGTATACATGAACAGCTAAACAAAAGAGAGCGTTTGTTTATCGTAAGAATACTTAGCTGCGATCTAAACTCAAGCGTGGATTGGGGCATTAACGTGCCTTGCATGCATAATGGGCGCCGTTACCTAACTATTAAGGTGAACTTGCCGTGCGCGTGGATGAGTGCGTTCGCCTGTCCTTATTCCGCCCACCTGCTTCTTCGCGGTTTCTTGCATCCCTTCGATTCCGCACCTTGAGTATGTTGTGAGCTAGCTTATTGTCACAATAGGAGCCAGCTGGATAATCGCTGACTCCTGGTGGGCACGCTCAGCTTTACTTGTCCTGCGGTCTCTGAACATCTACCCCACCGCTTTGGGTGGCATGGACGCTGGGTTAGGTGGGCTGGACTCACAGACCGGACTCCTGAATGCGCCTGGACTCATGCCGAGTCCAAAGAACGCTTCCTCTGTTGTGGAAAGTGGGGTGGAGGACTACTTTCTCGTGGTGTTGTTTTATTTTATTTCAAAATGTGATAAGCAGCATGATAGCGCAACAAATACATAAATATGACAACATAGAGATAACAAGGATTGACGAATAGTCATAAGACTCAAATCTGCTGTTTGGTAAAAGGTCGCTTTTTCAGAAGAACCGATAGCCTCACAGTTACGCTTCATTCACGCGCAGAGTTTGCTGCTTCGGGATGACGCAGACGACGCCAGCGGCCCGCTCGGTCTGTCACGAGCGCGGCGGCCCCTGGCTGACTCGCGAGAGGTCAGCCGGCGGCAGCAGCCTACGCGCGTTGGCTGAGGCACGCGAGCGTCACGTGACCCTGCCCCTGTTCGCCCCCGGCCGTCACGTGACCGTCCGGGCCGGTGAGCAGGCTCCGGGCCCGCGGGTCCGCCGTTGGCCGCGGGGCGGAGTCCGCCGTGCAGCACGTCTGGCGCCGGCCGAGGCGCCATGGGAACCGTCCGAGGGGCGGCGCGGGTTGGCTGCTCTCTGTGCCGACACCAGCTGGCGTCGCGTCAGAGTGGGCCAGCAGTTCCCGGTAGTGGCGAAGTTCCGTCGTTGCCATGTCGGACACGGGTCCGCTTCCTACCGCCTCTGGCGTGGCGCCGGCCGCCGGTACGGCCGTGATCAGGGCGCGGTTCCTTGTTTAGTGAAGAGTTCCATCCCCGTCTCCGTCCAGAACTTGGGCTCCAGCTCGTTGCCTAATATGGAGAAGACAGTGGACCAAATCCGTTAAAAACCCGTTTGTTGGCGTGTTTTTCGGGGCGGGCTGCGCGATGTTTTACTGCTCAACTCCTTCCTGTCCCCTCTCCTTTTGCGAAACTGCGTCCCTGACTGCTGAAATTTGTCGGCTCGAGTTTGAGCCGTCTCTGAATTTGACGACGGAGACGGCTGGCGGCAGCCGTCTCCGAGTTTGACGACGGAGACGGCTTCCGGCAGACGACTCCGGCGTTTGAGTCGTCTCCGGGAGAGCCGGCCGCCTCGACCGGTTGGCGCAGAAGCCGGGCTGGGAGCAGCGCGCTAGGAAGGCGGCGAATCGGAGCGCTTCCGGCGCAGATACGGCTGCGGAGCGCGCCGATGGCGTCACTGGAGTGGGGGGCACGTGCGTGGGTGAAGGCGTCCGGTGTGAGCGCGGCAGATGTCGGCCGGCTGCAGCGCTGATGTCGACGCCCTGATTGGGATTGGATTGGAGCGGAGCTGGTGACGACTTATCCTCTCGTGTAGTGAGTGCAGCGGTTTACATTGGGAGCATCACTTATGGTGTTTCGGGTGACATACTGTGTTGAGCTGCCTGATCGTTTGCTATTTGCGTTATCAATTTTTCGAGATCATTCGCCGTTGGCGTATGAGAATGACCTCGCTTTCGGGCGGCGCGAAGGAAGTGTGCCGGATGCTGCTTGTGTGCATTTTTTTGTGAACGGGTAGATGCCATTTAACCTGACTTCTGCTAGTGCGCAGTGTTAAGCTAGTGCGTAACTAGTGTCGCCTGACGGCACGGCCGGAGATCTGTCGTGTTCGTGTGGCGGCGCATCCGCCGGCCACGTCATTGGCTGGCTTGCTTCTCTTAGCACTGCTAAGGCTGGACCTAGAGCCAACACGTTGAGACCCGAAAGACAGTGAACCATGCCTGGCCAGGACGAACCCGGAGGAAAGTCTGGCACATGACTTAGCATTTTACACGGATTTTTAGCATTTTTGCATTGATTTAGGTGCTGCTACGTTCTAAATATGGCAACGCGGCAAAAGTTTTTCTTTCGTTTCCGTTGGAGAGAAACGAACGCCTTTATTGACTGTTTGATTCCGAACTGCATTTTAAGAGCATCATTAAAAGTTTAAAAGGTTAGCAAAACTTGCTTCGTATTGTCGGATGTTGACTTCGACTGGTCGGACCAGAACTTTTGCATCAAAATGACATTGTCCGACTGAAAGCTGTTTTCGTCGGCGTCCTTCAGGCGAACTCGCTGTTGCTGCAGTGATTTAGCGAGCGTTTCTCAGCCTGTCTCGCTTGCCCGCTGGCTGGCGGACTCCACCAGTAGCAGGCGGGTCGGGTGGCGCCTCACTGCCGCCGTCTGGCGAGGCTCTGCCCGCCAGTTGCCATGGCGACTGACGCCACGCTAACCGCCGCCATGGTTGCAGCGTCAACGGCGACGGCTTCTCCCTGCTGGACATCGCCGTCATGACCAACAACCAGGCGATCGCCCGTCTCCTGCTCACCTGCGGCGCCAGGGAGAGCTCGCAGTGTGAGTACCGGTGCGCAGGCTCGTGCGACAGATCTCCCGCCCGCCGCTGCTCTGTCGGTGTCAGCTGTGAGCGTGTCGCGGGGTGACCCCGCCGTCGTGCGCCGTCAATCCTGATGACGAACGCTTGCAGACGTTTGACACAAGTGTAAAGATGGACGCTATTTTCGAATGTCCATGCAAGTGGCGAGGTCAAAGTTCGATGTGAGTGTCAAGCGCAACCCCTTGCACAATGTCCACCGTTGTCTGCCAAGCCGAGTTGTATGTGGCGCGTGGCGGATAGCGTCGGCCAGCGACGCACGCAAAATCACGCGTGGCGGTGGGGCGAGATCTCCGAGTCGTGTCAAGAGCAGCTGTTGGCTCACGCTGTGGTCGCCCTCGCGGTGCGTTGCCCTCCTCGTGCTGCCGGCGCCCGGCGCGAGGCATATCTCGCGTGGCTGTGTGTTGAAGCAAATCCTCCGCGCTCCGGCTACCCAGCTAACCATGCAAAGGGTTAGCTGGGTAGCAAAGGGTTGGGCCTGATCAGCAATCGGATCCGCTGACGTCAGTCGGTCGTGAGGTCTTGAACTTGTCAACAGTGCTGGGGATGTCCTCGGCGCTAGGGGGGGGGGGGGGCTGATGCTGTTTGCAGGCAAGAGTGACGCTCGCTCCGAGCCGTGCCAGCTGCAGATTGTTTCTACGTGCTCTCTGGCACCAAAATCGAAGTGCCGACTTCAGGGGCGTACGCAGCATTTCATTATGTAGGGGGAGGCAATTAAAAGTTATCACCGAAAGCCGAGTTTAGCGCGCAGTCACACGCAACTCTTGCCTGTAAAGCAACGTCTCATGATCGCATCGCATCACAGCATCGCATCGCATGACAGCATCACACCGCATCACAGCATCGCATCGCAGCATCACATGGTATCACATCATCGCATCGCATCGCATCGCATCTTCTCGATCTTACTTGATGTGTCAATCTCCAATTTAAATGACCAACCATTTGTCTCGCACATGACGCATGCCTCAAATTTGGCGCGGTGGCGCGTGCCCCGGGAGCTGCCGTGCCTTCACGACCCTGACCAAAAGACCAAATGATGCAGCGGCTCTCCTTACGAGCTGCAGGCTTTAGCCGCAGGTCGCCGCCGCGACAGTGCATGGCACGGTCGGGTTTGCGCGTGTTGTCTAGTCGTGGGGCGCAGCGGCGCCGTCTGACGGCAAGCTCCGGCCACGTGCCGGCTCTGCGGGCGGCGGATCAGTTCGCTTGGCCGGCTCGGCGGATATCGCTTCAGAGCTGGCTTGCAGCGGCCTCGCCCGCTCTGTGCCGAGCTGGTGTGTTTGGTCCCAGCGCATGGTCACGCTGTGCGGCAACCCGTCGCACGGATGCCCTACTCCGCTCGCCGCTCATTGGGAGCCGTCGCTCCTCTACACGCGCCCCACTGCAGGTCGTCATGGCTGTGTGCACGCCGCGCGTCGGCACTTAGTCGAAGGCCCTGCGCACGTCCAGTGAGACTAGCGCCACTGGATGGGAGCTAGGCAGCGTGAGATTAAACCAGGGACGCCGCCAGGGCTTGCAGAAGGGCTGGGTCCGGAGGTCGGTGAGAAGGCATCACGCCGATTGTGAACTTTCTGTCGGGAGTACTGTATTTTGCTGCGTGGTGAAAGGAACAAGTGCGGATCGGATGGGAGACCAACCACCACCCCTTGGCTACGCCCCTGGAATGGACGCTGCAGGCTCGGTGCAGCTCCCACCGGACGAAGACCCGTTACGAGCCAAGCTGGTGCACGGCAGGCTCCCCGGCGCCGGCCTGACCTGACCCTGTATTATTGATGCGGATTCCCGAGGTCGATCAATCCCGTCCGACCGCTGTAGCGGCGCGACTTTGGTGCCGTCGGGGCGCGCCAGAGCCGTAGTCGCTGCCGATAGGCGTTGCATGCGTGGGCACCTCGGAGGGATAAATCATTATCGATCCACTGTTCGTGACATCGCAACTAGAGAGCAAACTGCAGCCTGAGCGAATGTTTCTGAAAGTGTAACGATTTTGGGAGTCTGAAGCTGCGTCGATGCCCTCGTCCAGAGAAATCGAAGGTGACTTTGCAGGATCTCAGACGCCTTTGCCAGAGCAGACCACAGCATGATCCCTGCAAAGTGTATTGGATTCTGTTGTTGAAAGGCCACCGCCGCCGCCTTTCCACACCGACATTCAACCGGGGCTGCCGTGTCCGTCGGCGCCAGATGGCCGCTCGTAAAGATTTTCTCGGGACAAAACCTGCGGTGGCGTTCGTAAAAACCGCGGCCGAGCTCCCCGAGTGCCGTGCCGGCCGCCAGCGCGCCACCAACCGCCTGCGCTGTCCAACTCGATAAGAGGTCCGAGCTGTTTGAGTTCCAGACGGGTGTTGTGCCGATGCGGGGCCGGTCGCATGCGCCGACGCTGGTTCTCAGGGCAGTGGGGTTGTTGTTGGGGGGAGGGGAGTTGAGTCTGGCGCGCGGCCGGGACTGCAGACAGGAGCATACGCTGACAGGTGCTGGATGTCTGGGCGGCGGGATGTCTCGGTTTGGGGGTTGTGTCCGACCGGGGTGACCGGCTCCAACGTAGGAGACCCTGGTTTGTTTCCCGGCTGGTGTTCTCGCTGGGCGATAGCATGGCGGCTACAGTCGCTGGGCTCATTCACAAAACGGTGCGCGATGATCTGACCTGACCTGACCTAACCTGACCCGGAGTGTTTCGCGATCCGTTCTTCTAGGTGTTATCCGAACCCTTCCCTTGCCTGTCACGTCTCCCCTGGCTCTACCCGCGCCTGGGCTGGATCATGTTCACTGCTGCCGCGACTGGCGTTGGTTATCGGGCGTGTTTACGAGTCGCGCTGCCGAATCAGCTGTGTGCCGCTGACAGTCGTCAGCTGGGCGTCGGCTCCAGCCAGCCAGACATCAGCACCAGCTGACCCGGCCCGTGGGTACGGCCGGGTGTGCCCGCTGGCTTCTTAACCAGCTGCACTAGCCGTCTGGCGCCGCGCCGCCGTGTTGCGTCGCTGATGACGAGGCCATCACCACAGGTGGCACCTGCTGAGGAAGCCGATGGGAGATGTGGAAGTAAAGTTGTTCTGGGGAGACGGACGCTGCCACGGCATACCGCCGTGCTGCATGTTCACACCCATGGCCGGGATCACCGGGGAGGGAGGGGGGGGGGGGGGCTACGAACGATGACGCTGGCCGAGAGAAGCCCGAACGGGAATGCGGGGATGTCGAACGAGTTTTGGACGGGAGTTTCGTCACCGCCTGGGGTTATCGTAGACGAGCGGTATACCGACTGCGAGGTGATGGAGGGAGGGAAGGAGGGAGGGAGGGAGGGAGGGAGGGAGGGAGAGGGAGAGGGAGAGGGAGAGGGAGAGGGAGAGGGAGAGGGAGAGGGAGAGGGAGAGAGAGAGAGAGAGAGAGAGAGAGAGAGAGAGAGAGAGAGAGAGAGAGAGAGAGAGAGAGAGAGAGAGAGCCACCGCCATCTCAGAGCCGAGGACGGACATTTCTCTACCGTGGTTTCAAGTGTCCACCATGCTCTTTTGTGCTGCAAGAGCTTTTGGCGCTTACTTGTCCCAGCTCGTCTCCAATCTAAGATAGGGTCACGCCGGCGCGTGCCGCGTGTCCCCTGCCTCACGTCGAGGGCGGGGTCAGAGGCGGTGGCGGGCGCGTGACGCGGCGGGTCGTGCCACGCACGGTCACGCGCGCCGGGAGGCGTTGCATGACGGCAGTGGGCGGTGCGGACGCCGGCGGTGACGTGTCGGGTAGTGGGAAGGGGCAGATCGACCGGTCACGCGACGCTCGGCAGCTGGCGAGCTTCGCTAACCAACAGGCGGTGACCCCAGGAGCCGCTCCTCCCCCTTCTCCCCCCCCCCCCCAACCCCGGCCCTGGCTATCCGCCACAGTAAGATGGGTAGGGGGGTGGGATTTGTTACTACAGGCGTGAAGCGGGCCCACGCTGCCTTCTCGTCGCCACCGGAAACGGATGGTACTGTAGCTTGACGTAGATCACGGCAGGGGCCCAGGTAAAGGAGTGGCCTAGGTTTCAGGTCATCTCTTTAGCAACGGGTTTCCCGTTTTACACATTAGATGCCTCTGGGCAGATTGTTAGAAGCCAGTGTTACGTGTGCTCGTTGAACTTCGGGCCCCTCCCCTAAGAAAATTCCTGGCTGCGCCCTTGTATCGCGCCGCCAGAGCGTATGTTTGTCGATTGCAACGCCGGTGACTGGTCGCAGTGGGCTGGGACCCACGCCGTCTGGTCAGGGGGACCGTGTCAGGCGTCCGGTCAGGAGAGCGCCGCTGAGGCGCGAACGCCGCAGAGTCGCACCCGTCCGCCGCTCCGGGACGCACGCGCCCGGTCAGGTCACGTGACGTCGCCGCTCGCGGCCTGGCCGGGGCGCAAGGTGAAGTTGGTCTGCTGTCGCGGCGCGTTGCCATGACAGCCGAACGCTGTTGACGCTGGGATCGGGATCGTGCGGCGGCCAGAAGCGCGCCCAGGCAGCTGGAGAGAGGAGGCTGGGCGGGCTGGACGCGAGGTGTCGGAATAGACGATTGCGGCGGCAGTCGCAACGGAACTGCGTCGATACCGGCGCAGTACCCTGTATTACGCCCAACTCGCATGATAGCTCAAGCACCCCAATCTTGGCTAAAACCACAACGTCGGGGTGAAGACCGCCCGGCCGCCCCGCCCGCCGTCGACGCGGACTTGCTCCGGCCCGTGCTCGCCGATCGTGTCTGTTGCGCGAGCGGGAGCCGCCCGATGGGATATGGTAATGTGATGGGACTCGTCCATCCTTGGCTCGTTTACAAATGACACTGGTGTCGAGAGGGGCTCACGGCCAGCGCTGCCCGAGTCCGTACGAGCGACAGCATCTCTCGCGCGGATTTGTTAGATCGCAGACCTTTCGCTTAACCCCGTTTCTTCGTCTGTCTGATCAGAGGCAAATTAAGCTGCCTCTGGGAAGACAGCGGCAATAAAAACAACTTCGTTCCGATTCCTTTGTTTCTGGCAATTAGCTTGTTGCCAAGTTTGATCAGAAACATACTGGATTGCATAATCAATAAGCGAGAAATTACTGGACCATGTATAATTCACCTCGCTCGTCTTTAGGCCACTTTTTGGCCTTGGTTTTTTCAGCAGCATCCGTCTTGCTTGAAAAATGCATGCCTTTGGCTTTTCTTATGGTTTCAGCATTCTCTGCCGGACATACCGATGTTCCATCCTCTTCTCAAGTTCCAGCGCTCTCTCGGTGCCCCCTCGGCGCCCCGTGTTTGGGCGCCTTCTCGGCGCCCCGTGTTCTGGTCCCCCCCCCCTTCCCCTTCTCCCGGCGCCCGGTATGCCGGCGCCTGTCCCACCTGCCGCGTCTGAATGCCCACTCCGTCATCTGTTGCAGTCCTCTCGGCGCCCCGTGTTCTGGTCCCCCCCCCCCTTCCCCTTCTCCCGGCGCCCGGTATGCCGGCGCCTGTCCCACCCGCCGCGTCTGAATGCCCACTCCGTCATCTGTTGCAGTCCTCTCGGCGCCCCGTGTTCTGGTCCCCCCCCCTTCCCCTTCTCCCGGCGCCCGGTATGCCGGCGCCTGTCCCACCCGCCGCGTCTGAATGCCCACTCCGTCATCTGTTGCAGTCCTCTCGCAGGAGCTGGTGCGGAAGGCCCAGAAGAGGGTCGACACGCTCGCCAGCTATCTCACCACCGCCAACGGCGGCTACACCAAGGAGAGTGAGAAGCAGAAGGCGCTCTGGGAGCGCCGCCTCAAGCTGCTCAACCGCATGAAGGTCGGCTTCGACCAAACACGTGAGTGCAGGGGCGTCAGGAGGACCTGGAGGTCGGTGACCGCAGCCTGGTTTGATGTCGCTCTCGCTGATGTGCCGCGAGCACGGCGTTGTGGTGATGGTGACAGTACGTGATGGTATGATGACAGTATGCTTTGAGCGCGGTATGCTCATGGTCACTGGTGGCTGGTGGCCTGGAGCTGGTGACTGGATCACTGCCGGCTATCAAAAACACGCGCGTGTTATCTCGCACTCGCCCCATATTTTGCGTGGCGCCTGCCCGGCCGCTGAACGTTTCTGTGTTCTGCGTCACACGCCGCTTTTTAGTGTTTCGCGCTCACTAATATTTACGCCGAGGGAAATTATTTCGCCCCGCTGGCACTCGCAGCTGCTTGCTGTAAACAGGCCCGTAAACAGCAGTTCAGGGCTGATTGAATGTGCTCCCTGGACAGCGATGGATATTACCGAGGCTGCTGGGGGAAACGCTTTGAAACGGTTATGTCAGAGTCCTGAGGGGGCATAATGGAATAAACGCGGCAATTCGGCAATCAATAAACGGGAACTCTTGTGCGCTTCCACGGGCTGGTGAAAAATAAAAACGGCCGGCAGCCTGCACCAGACTGCACCCGATCTCCTCCTGACTGCCAGCCGCCGTCCGTCTCAAACGAGGGCGATAGAGCCTGCGGTACACCACAACTGCCAAATTTCTCCTCGTAATGGGACATGCGCTGCGTGCGGATGTATCCAAACAGCACGCTGCTGCACTGCACACGTCAGATGGAACCTCGCCTGGCCCAGCTGACTGACGGATGTCCGCCCGCCGTGTCGGCGCCAGGCGCGCCGGCGTCACAGGACCTCCGTGCGCCCGTGCGCCCCTCCGCCGGCGTCACGGGACCCGTGTGTCCGCGCTCCTCTCCGCCGACGTCACGGGACCCGTGTGTCCGCGCTCCTCTCCGCCGACGTCCCGGGACCCGTGTGTCCGCGCTCCTTTCCGCCGACGTCACGGGACCCGTGCGTCCGCGCTCCTCTCCGCCGACGTCACGGGACCCGTGCGTCCGTGCGCCCCTCCGCCGGCGTCACGGGACCCGTGCGTCCGTGCGCCCCTCCGCCGGCGTCACGGGACCCGTGCGTCCGTGCGCCCCTCCGCCGACGTCACGGGACCCGTGTGTCCGTGCGGCCCTCCGCCGGCGTCACGGGACCCGTGCTCTGGTGCTCCTTTCCGCCGACGTCACGGGACCCGTGCGCTGGTGCTCCTCTCCGTCGACGTCACGGGACCCGTGCGCTGGTGCTCCTCTCGGCCGGCGGCGCGTGCGGCTCACCTCACGCGCCGCGCGTTAGGTCTGCCGCCGGCCTGCAGCGTCGGCCGCGCTCAGGCTGGCACTGTGCCCGGGAGCAGGCAGCCCCGAGAGGGCGCCGTCGCTCGAGCGGCCCCGAGAGGGGGCCACTTGTGCTGGCCGGTGAGGGCGCCGTCGCTCGAGCGGCCCCGAGAGGACGCCACTTGTGCTGGCCGGTGAGGGCGCCGTCGCTCGAGCGGCCCCGAGAGGACGCCACTTGTGCTGGCCGGTGAGGGCGCCAGAGGGCGTCAGTTGGACGTCGCCCGCGCGGCTGTCTCCGGGGCTGTTGTTTCCTTTGTTTTTGTTTGCCGTTGTTCGTCGTTTTTCCTCCCACGTCGCCTTGCCGTTGCTTCAAATAAGAGGGGTGATAGTTATGTGATGACTTTTGACGCATTTGGCCGCCGCCTCATAAGTTGCACCTCGCCTCAATGTTCACATGACACAGTTCGCTGGCACAGTGTCGGTTAGAGACCACGTTTCAAATGTTTCATGCGCATTGTAGTGAAATGTGGGTGTACATCTGTTTGAACCGCGGCCCAGATTTTTGGGCCGCGGCTGCGCTCTTTTGGAAATGGTCCCATCGGAGGTAGCCCTTGTCTGCAAAATCGTGGCACGACTTTAAGTAAGTACATGATCTCCTGTGGCTTTCGTGATTTTCCCGAAAAGCAGAACGTGTTGTCGATTGACTTCGTTTTGCATAAAGTGAGTATAAAAGATAAAGGGTCAAGGCTTTAGTTAGACGTTCTGTTGAAAGTTTTATCATCTGTTTTTTTGCATTTGGCATGAAAATAATGGGTAAAATAATATAATAAAGCGCAAAAGGGTAAATAAAGGGCTGTAGTTAGACGTTCGGTAGAAAGTCTTACCATATTTTATTTTACATTTCTGTTGTAAAATGGAACGAATGTTCATTTCCGCCATCAAAAGGGATTTGTTCACTTGACTGAGGGAAGGGACGCTGTAAATATTATCAGTTAGCATTGTTGCGTGTTGTTTATAAACAGACACGCGACTTGGCCATGCACTCAGGCTTGTTTTTCTGCAACGTGTCTAGCGTTATCAAAATGCTACTTTTTCACGTGATTTGCCAGTCAAAGAAGGCGACATTTTGGGTTTGTTTGACGGCTATTGGATATCAGCTCAGTCCGATTTGGCCGCATATTCCCACATGGCCCACTGTACATCGTTCTTGCGAAAAGGTACGTCTTCGGCTGCATGGCTTGCTCATCCTGACGTTGGACTAGGTGGAGACCCCTGGCAGCGTTCCGATTCTCTGTGGTCTGGTGTATCATGCTGCTGGGTGGTCCGGTCCGAGATGGCCCGGTGCGCTGGGATGTGGTCCCCCGTGATGTGTTCTGTTGTGATCTGTTCTTGTGTGGTGTTACCTGGTTATATGTGGTCTGATCTGACCCGTTGGTCTGGTAGTCGTGCCCGTTATAATCTGGTGTGTTGTGCCCCGATATGGTCTGATGCTTATAGTCGAGACCCCTGTGTTGTGGCGTGGTCTGGAATGATCTGGGCTGATTTTGTCAGGACCGTTCTGCTGATAACCTTCCACCTGTTTTGCCTTGATGTTATGCCTTGCCTATGTCACGCCTATGTTACGCCTTATGCCCCTCATGCCTATGCCTTGATGTTATGCCTTGATGCCTTGATAGTGCGTGTGGCGCTGGCGCTGGTGTGGTCTGGTCTGTCGTGACCTGGCCTGGTTCCGCTGGGGTGTCGCGACCTGTGCCTCCTCCGCCCGGTCAGCGGTGGTCGGTCGGTGTCGTGGCCTGTGCCGCCGCCGCCCGGTCAGGGACGATCGGTCGGTGTCCGCCGCCCGGTCAGGGACGATCGGTCGGTGTCGCGGCCCGTGCCGCCGCCGCCGGTCAGGGGTGGTCGGTCGGTTGTCGCGGCCTGTGCGCCGCCGCCCGTAGGGGTGGTCGGTCGGGTCGCGGCCCGTGCCGCCGTCGCCGGTCAGGGCGATCGCGTCGGTGTCGTGGCCCGTGCCGCGCCCGGTCAGGGGGCGATCGGTCGGTCGTCGCGGCCCGTGCCGCCGCCGCCCGGTCAGGGGCGATCGGTCGTGTTGTCGCGGCCCGTGCCGCCGCAGCCCGGTCAGGGGTGGTCGGTCGGTGTCGCGGCCCGTGCCGCCGCCGCCCGGTCAGGGGCGATCGGTCGGTGTCGCGGCCCGTGCCGCCGCCGCCCGGTCAGGGGTGGTCGGTCGGTGTCGCGGCCCGTGCCGCCGCCGCCCGGTCAGGGGCGATCGGTCGGCGTCGCGGCCCGTGCCGCCGCCGCCCGGTCAGGGGCGATCGGTCGGTGTCGCGGCCCGTGCCGTCGCCCGGTCAGGGGCGATCGGTCGGTGACGCGGCCTGTCGGTCTGCTCGGCAGGTCCGCCGGAGCCACCGGGCCGCGTGACGGCCGAAGTCACCGGACCGCAGGAGGCGCGCCTCAGGCTGGAGGAGCCCGACTGCCAGCACCAGGCCATCTGCACCAAGTACAAAGGTCAGTGGCGGCCCGCCGGCCCGCCTGCGACCGACCGGCAGACTGGCGGCCATCGCGCGAGTCTGCCGGTCGCCGTCACAGACCGGCAGACTGGCGGCCGTCGCCGTTGCTGGTCGGTAGACTGGCGGCTGTCGCTGTCACAGACCGGTAGACTGGCGGCTGTCGCCGTCGCCAGTTTTATGGTGATGCGCGCACTTCATCCGAGTGGCATATGGACGAAACTGTGCTGAATTGATGCGGACCAAATGGGGTTTTGCTCCTGTTTCAGGCTATTTCGGTCTTTTGTCCTGATGAACTTTTAACTCGCGCAGTAACGGCAATCGAATGATTGGGACCAATGATTAGCTAGCGTAGTGGATCAGACCATTTTGCACGCTCCCAGAGGGGCTGTGGCGGACTCGCGCAGGGTATCGATTCCATATACGCCGATAACTGTCAGCGGTCCGTTCAGGTTTGTTGGCAAACTCCCATGATGGCCTCCAGTTTTCATAAATTTTATGTCAATGGCGGTGGGGGTCTTTGGCTGACAGCCTGTTTTGCTCCTGAAGGCATGCATTGTAGGAGCAGTGTCGCGTACTGCTCAGCGTTTTCAGGGTATGTCATGCAGCGAGCGGTTTATGTAGGCGCGGGCTAGGTACGCTATGCGAAGTTGATCTGTTTCATGTTGCCATCGATGCGCGTGGCCATGGCTCGTGAATACTGACACCTTCGTCGAAACAGCAAAGTTTTTCCTGTGCGAAATGCAAGCTGTGATCCTCGCCGGCCTGTAAAAGATCATTCGATTATTTAGACAAGCCAGCCCAGAGATATTTTGTTTCATGTTCTGCTCAAACGTTTCGGCTCCAGTGCCGGGTCTACCCCGCTTTGCAGTGATGTGTCGTGCCGTGACCTCACCATGATCTGCTAGCCGACTGCATCAGGTCAAGGATGTTGACATTAAAGAAATCACCTTCGGCTGTAAGGAAAACTCCGAAAATGTATTGAAAATGAAAACGGTATTGTGTCTGCACAATTGAACTCAGTACGTATGTCGTTTTTGTTCAAGATCTGGCTCAATTCTCATTGATAAGCCGTCCGTAAATGGCGCTACGCATTTTTGACCTTTTCTTCCCTCCCCTTATCTTTGCTTACGCAATGATCAAGATGTCGAAAACCCTCACCCTGGCTATGCGTTTATTGTCAAATATTAAGGGTGATTGGCAACTACACCTGAACGTAGCGAAATGCAGTCAATAACCTCATATTTTCAAGCTTTGGTTTCTCCGCATAACCCTCCTCCTCCACCCTTCTCCTTACGTAACATCATTTATGGACGGCCTCTGAGCTGGGTCCGTCTTTTTTTTTGGGGGGGGGGGATTCGGCCACGCAAAAGCGCACACCCATCTTTTGAACATGTAAAAGATTACTGTATTTTACTGATGACGGCCCCCGGTCTGCCGGAATCCCATCTTGCACTTAATTACAGGGCCGTCCGCAGATGGCAGCACTGAAACAGATGGCTGCGATCATCGCCGCTTCGGGCTGAGAGTGGTCGTTCCGCCCAATGCTGGCGATAATGATCCCTTTGATTGGGGTCGCCTGGTCCAGTGCCATCAGGACAACTATCCGGCTGACGGCCAGGACATGGCGGAGAGGGGGCGGGGGGGGGGGGGGCAGGGGGCATCCGGTCATCAGGACACTCAGCTGAGGCATCAGATGACTGCCTCGTCAGTTTGACTAAGGCTGGTTGAGGTGTGACAGCGTGAACACCGGCGAGTCGCTCAAGCCGCCAGTTGTGAATTACATAATGGCAAAGCACATCATCGTGGGAGCTTTATTTGGATGGCGTCTCACTGAAAATGGACTCAATATTTCATAGCTTTTCACGCTTCCCTTCACGTCTTCCCATTTTGTCGTGTTCTACATGCCGCGCACACGCGACACAACCGTATCATAGGCGCACACGGAGGACTGCGTGTGTACCTCATCAGCGTAGCAGTTGCAAGCAAGGGTGCCCTACGCAACGGTTTCACCAAGGTGGGCGAGCACGGATTTGAAATTATATCAGATGCCTGCATTCATGTGCGTGGTGCTAGATTTCACCGCATGCAATGCTTGTCGGGTCATCGTGCAAATGAAAGCCAACTGTCATCATCACCCACACGGCGATGTTCAGTCATATGGCAGCCACCCAAGCCAGTCATATGGCAGCCATCCAAGCGACGCCTTTTTTGACGTAATCCCTGCAGAGTCGTTTCCGAATCAAGGGATTGCAACGCGACCAGCAACCATAGAATCGCTTGCCAGCTAAACTCGAGGAATATGCAGCCGCCTGGCCGGATGGTCGTCACCGAGCTTTTGGAACCCTCTGTATAAATAAACTTGCAATTTGTCACTGCCCGCACTGTGCGTGACGCATTCTGATAGATATCAGCTGGTTGAATTTGGGTAGTAGAGGCTATGGCAAACCCGCGAATGGTCACGTTGGATGGGGACTCAAATTCATCACGCTGCGGAAGTACGTATCAGCGTTGTCGCATCAACAGTATGGTGCGGGCCATGCTTGCTGGGAACTGCAGCGCTAGGAAGGGCGGTAGCAGGTGCTGTAGACTGCCGGGACCGTGCACGCCGTCAGAAGTCCTGGATGGCCAGGGGACGGAAGGCACGAGTCGGCCCGAGACACCGGAATGTGGCGATGTTTATAACTGCAGCGCGCCTTAGCGGTGCAAATGCTGAGGTTTTCATCGTGTGGCCCAGCCAAGTGTGCTGACTGGCAAGTCGGTTCTCGTGTCGCGCCGCCGCCTGCCGCTGACTCGGATATCAGATTACCCGTTCTGTGATTAGATTCCGTGTTTCCGGCCGGCGAGTCCGGTCTCTGCCCTGGCGTTCTCAGCTCGGATCACGCGGTTCAGTAGAGCAAATGTTTCTCATTTAGTGCACTCGTAAGTGAAGCCGTACATTTTCCGGACTGGTTAAGATGAGGTGTTGGTACGAGTGGAATACGCGGTCGGACCATTTTCGTCGTCTGCGGTTGGTGATCACACAGCGCTATGGCCTTGTGCTTCCCCGGCCGTCGTAAAGCGCCGGCTGGTCCGGAGAAGGACCTGATTATATTTGGCGCCTTGTCAAGTATGCCTCGATTACTCCCAGTGGCTTCGAGCTTTAGTGATATGGTCGTGATCCATGTAGACTCACCATCTAACCACTGCATTATCGGGGACATTTGGTGGTGCGCTAGGATGTTCTTTTATCTTTTTCTAAGATTTGTCGCAGAATTTTCTTGATGAGGAGCTTAGAAGGAATTTTCTTAGAATTTGTCACCTAAATGTCTTAAAAGAGAAAGGAGATGTCTGCACTAAGTCTGCTAAGGTTTCTGAACCGCTGTCATGTGTGCCGCTGTTTTACACCTCCGTACCTGCCAGTACCACTTTCGATCGACGTGGTTATTTCGCCCATGCTGGCTGGTGGTTCCCTTCCTAGCACACGTGCTCGGCCGTGCCGTCTGTTTCGCCGCGGATGGCTGCCGTTTTGTGTTCCTTTCCTTGGTTGGTGGTGCCGCTCGACGTGGTTGTCGCCACCAAACCATGTGAAACACTCCGGAAGCCAGCGAGATTCGAACCGGGCGCCCTGGCGCGCCGCTCAGTAGCCCGGTGCCGTTTCCAGTTCAGTGGTCGACGTGGGCCGACTTCAGCTCGGTGGACGGCGAGTGTGATGTCACGGACCTGGTGCCGCCGCCGGAGCTGCCCGTGCGCCAGCTGACGCAGGGACAGCGGTACTACTTCCGCGCCGCCGCCGGGAACTTCTGCGGCTGGAGCCGCTTCGTCACGTCCACCCCGGCTGGCGTGCGGCCTTCAGGTGGGGACGGCGGTGGCGGGCGGCGGTGCACCGTGCTGACGCACTCTCCGGCCGATGGGTCGGCGCGGGCCAGTGCACTGCGCTGTCGCATGTTCTGGCCTCGCAGTTGGCGTTCCTCTGCTATCGTCTGTTTGGACGCTCTGCGGTTGGTTTGTTGTACTGTTGTGTCTGTCTTTCACCTCCCTTCTCCTTTGCGCCAAGGCCTGATGTTGCACTCGCCCTCGCTCTCGCACACGCCCACACTCCTTGATTTTGCTCTTCACCACGCTCTTGTTTGGTATCTCACCCACCAACTGGCTCGATTTCTCACTTTCCACGTCCGTTACGCGCATCCGTTTCATCTCCTTATCTCTTGTATTTCCGTTTTCCATTTCATTCTCCCCACCCGGCCACCCCACCTCTCCCTGGAAAACGTTCTGTGCATTATATTTGTGTTCCTCCTGGCATGTCGTCACCGGTACCAAACACGCCGATAGAGGCCATGGACGCGCTCTTGGGCGCTGACCGACACGCAGTCGGACTGTGCCGTCTCTGACACGCGACCCTGTGCACGGTCTGTGGTGGAAGACGAACGGGCGCTGGCATGTCGGAATGTTACCTCCACCCGGCGTTCGTACGCTTCAGTGTTGACTCGATCGAGATCTTGGTTGACCCTGACTTTGGTTGACCCTGACCTCTTGCGCAATGTGGCCTAGCTATGACTGTCGCTAGCGCGACGCGCTCCAGTGCTCGTGCATGGTGACCTGATGTTGACCTTTCTGCAGCGTGGCCTGGCTCAGGCCGGGTCTTTTTACTATCACTGAAACCTGACCTGAACCTGCCTGCGGTGGCAGGACCTGATCCCCATTGCGACCCTTCGCTGACCTGGTCTGCAGTGTGGCGGGACGTGTACCAGCGGCTGTCTGACCCTTCGCTGACCTGGTCTGCATTGTGGCGGGACGTGTACCAGCGGCTGTCTTACCCGTGGCTGACTTGGTCCGCAGTGTGGCGGGACGTGGACCAGCGGCTGTCCCGGCTCAACGGCAAGGTCGCGGCCCTGGATCGGCTCTTCACGCAGATCCGCACCTCGCGGCCCCAGTACGCCAGCGACCTCCGCAACCTGGACGGCGACCGTGGCTCGCCCATGGCGCGCAAGAACGTCAAGAAGAAGAGTATCAAGAACCTGTTTCAGACGGCTGTCAAGTTCCAGAAGCACTTGCGGAGGTGAGGAGTGGGAGATGGCAGGTTAGCCGTGGGACATGACATATGTGAAGCGTGGAAAATGACATGGTTGAATCATGGGAGATGACAGATGCGTGGCGTGGGAGATGGCATGGGTGAAGCGTGGGAGATGACATAGGTTAGGCACGAAAGATGACATAGGTGAGGCGTGGGAGATGACATGTGTGAGGCGTGGGAAAATGCGTGAGGCGTAGGAAATGACATGGTTGAGGCGCGGGGGATGATATGGGTGACGCATGGGAGATGACATGGGTGAGTCATGGGAGATGACATGGGTGAGGCGTGGGAGATGACAGAGGTGAAGCGTGGGAGACGACAGAGGTGAGGCGTGAGAGATGACAGTGGTGAGGCGTGAGAGATGACATGGGTGAGGCGTCGGGGATGACATGAGTGACGATCACATCTTCTCCCTACGCTTGGCGTTTGGCTTGGGCTGCTTGTGGTAAGGCTATTGATGATATTCCTTTTGTATGTTTGTTAGGGCGAGGGACGGTAGAGCGGAAATATTTTGTGTAGATATCGAGGCACTCACCGTCTCCTTAAGGTCTCACACGCACTTGCTGCTGTTCAATATGTGGTCCATGCGTCCACTTTGTGGTCTCTGGTTTCCTTGGCTTGTAGTACGTCCTGTTTTTCTCTTTTGAATCCCATAGCTGACTTTGAAGTTCTCTCATTCTGGACTGCCCATCCAGTCTTTGGTTGGCGCCTACCACTTTGTAAATTACTGACGCTGCACTGTACTTTAACTCTGCCGCTCTGTCGTTTGCTTCTATCATTGCTCTGTTTTTATTACTTGTTATTTTTACTTTATTTTACAGCACCACGTTGTGGTGATCCCTCTCTCCCAGTTACCACACGACTGTATGGCTGGACACCACCGCTGCAACGTTGCTTGCGCCACATATCGGCGGCCTCAGTCACTCCACCGTTTTTTTCGACAGTGGCGTGTACCTGGCCAGCGTCATCTACCACGAGGACCGCGTCGCCATGACAGCGGAGGACTTTCTACCGATTCTGGAAGTGGACGAGTCGTATCCGAGCTCCATCCACGCCGACTTTCACTGGCTGATGAAGGTCAGACTGTCGTCTGCGCTCGGTGGTGGAGTGGAGTGCTCGGGCCGGACGGCGCTGGCTGACACGTGTCGCGGCGTGCCGGGGCACTCGGGCCTGAGTGGCTTAAACCTAGCCTCAGGTTTGATATGTTCAGCTTTATTGGCCGATTTTTGGGAATGGTGTGACCTCCCTGTTCGTCAGCCGGTCATTGCTCAATGTGTGTGGATCGCGCCGCGCCGCGCCGCCAGCGCTGTCGGAACTTCGCGCACTGGCTGATTCGGCGTCCAGCTGGCGCGCCGTAGCCAGGATCGAACCAGCGACCCGTGGATAAGCCGAATTCTGGCGTCGGCAGGTGGCGTGCACGTGGGACGACGTCCGCTCGCTGCGTCAGGACATGGAGCGCTCGCTCAGCTCGTCTTCAGTCCACTTCCGCATCAAGCTGCTGGCGGCGGCCGAACAGCTGCAGGTGCGACCCGACTGGGGCGACACCTGTTTCCGACCATTGTAACTAGTTTGGGGGCATGGTGTGCCTAGATGTGTGATTTTCTCGTCGCTGTTCGTGCTGTGCGCGTTGTGCGTCGTGCTGTGCACTGGTCATGTTGCGCTAGGCCGACCAGTAGTATAGATCGGTATAGATTGGTAACTGTCAGCGGCCCAGTTATCGTGCCTAATTGAGCCGGCCGCGATCAACAGCCACTTATCGGTATCGATTATTGCAAGACGGACGTACAGTTAGCATCAGTGTTGCCATTAGCCGCAGCCGCCAATTTTTTCATTTTTTAATTGTTTTTACTGCGCTGGTGTTTCGAGCCGCACGCTGTGTCCGTCTGTTATTGGCTGTGACCAGTGCAAAAGGACTGCTCGGCGCAGTTTACCAGACATTCTCGGCCATAGCTGACGGTAACCGAGTGTGCAGTTTGTTGTCTGAGGCATGCCAGTGCACCTTTATCTGAGGTCAGACGGCCACTGGTTGTATTGCATTAAGGATGGCCACGTGGGGAACGTGCGAGTAAGAAGCACCAGCGGGTTTTGGTCAGACATTGGAGGTCTTTTGGCTTGTGCTGGGCGGGGCGTTTACCGTCAGCAAATTCGCTCGCGTCTTTGAAGGGAGCGTCCGACGGATTTTGTGTAAAGCGTAGACTTAGGACATGTGTAGGATACAACTTCAGAAAAGTGGTACGCAAATAAAAACAAGATGAAAAGTGGAAACAGCGAAACAAGAAGCAAAGTTAATTGCCTCTGACCAGAAATGCCAGGACCTGGAAGTGTTATGACCTTCCGTGACCCGATATTTCGGGGCCTAGTCGACCTTGGGTTGACCTGTCGTGACGTGGCCTCATCCCACCACAACCCGTGATTTGACTGTCCTTGAGTCGCCCTCACGTAACCCCATCTTTCTGTGACCTTTCTTGCTCCAACTACCCTGTGATCTCCGTGACCCTGCTTCCCTGTGGCCTTCATTGACCTTGTTCCCCTGTACCCCTCCGTGACCCTGCTTTCCTGTGACCTCCCGTGACCCTGCTTCCCCGTGACGCCCCGTGACCCGTGCCTCAGGTGGCGCTCGGCGTGCAGGATCTGGGTCAGCTGTACTACAAGCCGCTGCGAGACTGCCACGGCGCGCTCGTGTTCGTCGTCATCAGCCACATGAGGTACCCTCCCCAGTCGCCTCCCCCTCCCTCGCCGTCGCCGCCGCGCGCCAGCAGCGTGTGTGTGTGTGTGGGTGTGCGTGTGTGTTGTGTGCGTGCGTGCGTGCGTGCGTGCGTGCGTGTGTGCGTGTGTTGTGTCGTGTGCGTGCGTGCGTGCGTGCAGTGGCTCGCCGACTGGCTCATTTGTGCCAGTGGGTAGGTCGTATGAGGAGCTGGTGTTTAGCGCAGCGAAGCGAAAGCACGCTGAACGCCGTAGGCTGACGTCGTGGGTTGCGTGCCAAACTTGACAGTGTTTTGGTTTCGTTGCGTGGGCGCTGCAGGTGATTTTTTATCGTCTCCGTGGTTCATTTTGAGCATTGCTGGGATCCAATGGTGTTCGGTTGCGTTATTTAAGCCAAAGCTCCATCCACACAGCGGTATGCCGCTGTGAAATGTGATTCCCACGGGTCTTTCGCGAATGAGACGGTGGGAATGTATGTCATCACACGAGCGGGCCCGCGTAATCCTCTCAAACTGGCGGCATTAGCGTGCGGATGGAGGCTTGTCCTGTGTAGGCAACTGGGACGAAAGCTCTGGGATGAAACCGCTGTTAAGTTTTGAATGTGTCCCTCCTCTCTGCCAAGAACCCGCACAACATCGATCGTCGCTGGCATCGATGTACATTCGTTTTCGATGTCTGTGGCCTGTGTTAGAATACACTGTTGGTCGAGTGACCGGTCTCCATCGGAGCCTGACGCTCGCCGTCACGAACGCACCAAACGTCAGTTGCGCCCCGGCCCACCGAAGCCGCTCATGTAGCCGCGCATCCGCTGACGCCAGCCGCGCTGGTGTCGCCGGCAGGTCGGGAAAGCTGCCGTCGGCGTCCGTCAGGTGGCAGCAGGTGAGCAAGCTGCAGCGGAAGGTGTCCACCTCGGATGAGGAGCCAGCGGTCGGCGAGAAACTCTTCGCCGAGATCAAGGTTGGTGCTGCGGTGCGCCGTGCGGCGCCGCGATGTGCGTCGCGCGGAGTGCGCTGACCCGGCCCGCGGGTTATTCTCAGGACTTGCTGGCTCCGTATCGCGGCGCTGGCTTTCGTTGAAAGGACGGCTCGGCTTCATTCAGTGTCTGTTGCATGGAGCCCACAGACTCCTATGCCAGCGGTGTGGTGCCGTCCTCACTGCCCACCATGTCACTGTATCATGTTCAGGCCTCATCGAAGAACGACGACATCACTTTGGTCCGCAGGCTTCGCCCCTGACGCTTAAAGATGCGCCCGGGGACAGTTCCCCCTTTCTTGATTCCAAGCAGCTCTATTCGTTCTTAAAAGATATTGATTTTGAAATCATTTTCACACCGTAATAATTCAGTAAAAGCATCGTTATGGGCGCAAAATGACCGCTGCAGTCGGCGCGCCCGAAAACACCAATGAACAACAAACAAAACAAGGCTTCATTCAGTATTTCTAGGGGCGTTTATGCGCACGGTGTCGTAGGACGGTGCCAGCCAGGAGTCCCACACCCGGCGCGTGCTGCACATAATTTCTGTGAATGGCCACATTATGTTGCACACGGACGTAATGTATACATGTTGTATGTCGTACACATACGCACACATACACATACGTGGTTGTGTGTGTGTGTGTGTGTGTGTGTGTGTGTGTGTGTGTGTGTGTGTGTGTGTGTGCGTGTGCGTGTGCGTGTGCGTGTGCGTGTGCGTGTGCGTGTGTGTGTGTGCGTAAGTGCGTAAGTGCGTGTATTGCAGACACACGCCAAGCACTTGACTGTCGTGCGCCCAAAGACGCGGCGTTTGCAGTGTGACGAACACCAGCAACTAACCAACATGAACGCATGGCATGAATGCACAGGCGCGGCGGAGAGAGGTGGCGCTTGGCGCGCGAGCTCGCGGCGCCTGCCGCGCGCTGATTGAGCTAACGGTGCGCGCGCCGCCGGCAGGACATCATCACCTACCACATGGTGTCTTCGGTGGGCACGTCGCGCGGTTTGTACCTGGGCTACCTGCAGTGTCAGACGTCGGTGGACCTGATCCGGGTCAGCGTGGCGCGCGACAAGCCCAACGTGCTGCCGCACGTGCGCGTGCGCGACAACGCGCACGTTAGCGGGTGAGTGCCGCCGCCGCCGCCGCCGCCCGGCAGGCCAGCGGCGGTCAGCATGAGCGGCGGCCGGTCGGGCGCACAGAAGCCGTATCGTGGCTGGCGCGGCCCCGGCAATGCCCGCAGGCGTGTCGCCTGAGCTTAGGGACTTAGATGGCAGCTGGCAACGATGCTATGTTGTGTGCGGTGTTCTCCGCCTATGTTCTGTGCTGGAGTACTGTGGGGTTTCTGGTGATACGTTTAGTTTGTGGTCACGTTTGCTGCATTGCTGGGTCCATGATGCGTTTGGTTTCGAATTTGTCGAGGAGTGGTCTGTCTTTGCCAGGGCTGGGATGTCAAGTGTTGGGTTGGGTCAGACGCATTGACAGGACATGGTGCGAGGAATTCTGCGTCCATATGAGACAAGTACCGTAATTATTCGTTATGGGGAGGTGTGGGCTGTGGGATTGTCCTTGGAAAGTGCGTGGAATGCTGATGTGCCAGCGCCGCGGAGGCGGACAGACCAGACCGAGAGTCTAACAAAGTCTCTAACGAAGACCTTGCGGCATTGTTACACTGCCGACCCGCTGCTGGTGTCCGGTGGGATTAGAGACCCTGATTCACTTGTCCTTCTTGTCTGTTTGTCTGTTGGTACTTACATTCGGTGCCACTGACCTGATTGACACTGATTCGGTGTCAGCCGTCTGTTGCGCTCAGTGAGGGACTGTGGGTGGTCCTGACCCCCCACCCCGTCCCCGTCTGTCACAGGGAGGAGTGGGCGTGGCTGCAGGAGTTCGGCACCCGCCGCGAGCTGACCGAGGAAGAGCAGGTGGACGGAGGTCAGGTGGTGACCCCGAGGTCACGGTTCCGGGCGCAGGTCGAAACAGCCGTGCGCCGCCTCCTCAAACTCATGGACGTGCCCGTGGAAGAGGCGGCCAATCACAGGTCAGACTCTGCGGGAAACCGCCGCTCATTGGTGAACGGGATAGTTAATCCACCGTTCATTTGTGAAAAAGATTGCGATTTCAGTACGACGCCACGAGGATATTGCAAGCATTATAGTAAAATGGAATTATACAACTATCATTCTTACGTCCCCGGCTGAACACAAGATGAATGTGCAAGGATATTGCGCTTTGCCTACCGCTAGCCTGTGGCATCTTGACGCAGCAAGCAAGCATGGGGTGGCATCTCTGCAGACGCGTGTCCAGCTGTGTGCTCCGTGGCCGTGTGCTCTGTGGCCGTGTTCTCCGAGATTTGCAGCGTCTTCCAGGCTGACGCCGCGTGCGACGTGCCCCGCAGGCTGTACAACGTGGAGGTGCTGGAGCTGAACAGCACCACCAGCTTCCTGCTGTTGATCCCGGCGGCCGACCAGGTGTGCTCCATCCACCAGGCGGAGGAGCTCGCCGCGCCCAACGACTGCCTCCGGCTGCCCGTGCAGGTGAGGCAGCCCCTGTTATGGGCAGCTAGTACACCGCCAGCGGGGCCTTGTCGGGTTATGAACAGCTGGTGGTCGTGCAGTTAAAGGCTGCATGCTGGTCGCAATGTGTATGCTGTCCTATGTTGCAATGCAGAGGTGCTGCACTGCCGCGAGTGAAAGTACCGGTGCAATTTGCTACGTCGACTTAAGACTAAGTGCTTCTAACTAAGTTGAGACTAAGTTGAGACGAAGTACGTTATATCGTGATAAACGTGATGAATCATTCGTGCGTTATCGGAGTGGTGTTCGTTTTTTGCTCACACTGCGTACGGTGTGCGGACAGATTTTCGAGATGGTGCATATGATGACGTACCAGCGGTCGTTCGTCAGTCGCTACAGCCGGATCAGTTCGATCCTCGAGACGGACACAATCATGGCGCAGCACGCGCACCGGGAGGTGAGCAGCGACGGTCATCACCTCACCCATGTCAGTGCTGATCAGAAGAGGTGCAGGCAGATCGTTACTTTTTGGCGGTTATGTGCGACCGAGCTGCCAGGACTAACACTCCTACCCCCGCCTGATGTTTGTTTGGGTTACTTAAGGACGCCTCGCTGCTCAGTCAATCTGGTTTCTGCGTCAAATAATAGCTTGGTAGACTCAGCCGCCATGCATATAGTAAGCACTATTAGCCGCACATAACCCTGTCGTCTGGCGCAGCCCGCTCGGGCAGTCGGTGACTGAGGGAGCCGACCACGCCGTCGGTGGTGTGGGCTCCGCCGACGCCACTAGTCGTCCATAACCTCAGCCGGAGTTTCAGTCATGGGTCTGACGTTGTGGCATGCCCATGGGCGGTCAGTGCGAGGGCGTGGGGTCTTCAGGCGAGTTTCGCTCGTATGTGGAGGGAGACTGGATTTGGGAGCGGTTTTTACCACACAACACCGTGGGGAGAGTGCGAAGCTGTGTGCTATTGGTGGGAATGATCGAAGACCGGGTTTCCCCAAATAAAGTACCCATTTCCCTTTCATGGGTGGAATGAGTCTGTAAACCATCTTTATCGTCTGGCATGTTAGTATGCGCTAAAGTTTTGGTCAGATGGCTGTCCGGCTATTGTTAGCTGATATGAAGGTCATTCCCGGTTAGCTCCGTTGGAGAGCACTGGGCCCAAAATCAGAAGGCACTTGGTACAATCTCAGCAATTTGCAGAGCATAACGTCGGTTGTGACGCGTGCCTGGCTGAAATCTAGAAATCTAAACATTGTCATTAAACCTAAATATCACCAGGTCCTTTTTAGGACCCGATAAGGCCTGACGACGGTCCAATAGTTGAACGGCCGTAACATTGTGTATATACTAACGCGCCAGCTTAGGACGATGGTCTGACCAGCAATTTCATCCCTGATATTAATCAGTCGTCACAATTCTTCCGTAATAGGGCCTGCTGCTGTTGGTGTTTTTTTATAGGCATGTAGACATATAGACGTCAGGCCAACAAAGGACCACGAGGGCCCATCGAGGTTGGCCTACCTCAGGTTCCGCGCTCATCCTTAACACTAATCTTCCCACCTGACCCGCCTGCATTTAGCCATAAATGAGGGCCTTAGACCGGTAGAACTTGTTCAAACTATTTTTTGCTGCTAGGGAAGCAGTTCCTTCAACTTCGTTTGGCAGTCCGTTCCAGTGATTCGCTTCACTGACTAAATGGCATCTGCCCCTTTATAGTTCTGCTCCTACCTGTTGCTTATTGAAACCGGTTTCCCTCAAGGATAGGCCTAATTTCTAGCGCTCTTTGTAGATTTACCCTGTCTATCTCTCTCATAATCGTGAATATCTTTATCAGTTCCTCATCTCTACGATATTTCAGTGAATACAAATCCAAGGCCCTGAGCCTGTCCTTATATTATAAGTTGCCAAACCCATTCATCATCCTAGTCGCTTTTTGTTGTACTTTCTGCTGCCTATCTGTGTCTTTGTACGTATGGGGACCAAGCTTGTGCGCAATACTCTGGGTATGGTCTGACATAAGCTAAAAGCAACTTTTTTAACAGCATTCCTACTCATGTAATCGACATTCCTGTTAATAAGTCCCAGCATCCAAAGTGTCTTGCTCCTCGCAGCTCAACTTGCTTTTCAGCCTTTAAATCCCGAAAAATTATAACCCTCAAGTTCTCTACTTCCTCGATCTGGACCAACTCTTGGTCTCCCATGTTATAGCCTAGTTTTTATTCATTTTTATCCAACTGCCAGAATTACCCACATGCACCACCTCACACTTATCCTATTCAAATGTCATCTGCCACAGAGAAGCCCATTTCACTAGTTTCTCTAAGTCAAGTTTCGCGTGGTCTGAATTTTATACACCCCCATCAAATTATCTATCTATGGAGGCAATATATATTTTATTAAGGACTCCAAGCCAGGCTCGCCAAAGCCGAGACTCGTCCATAGCCATCAAGCTCATGGTAATTTTGCAGAGATGAAAGTGCAGAGAACTCCGCTAAGGATGTCACTGGTTGAGCGATCTTTATGTGTTGGTACGATGAGGGACAGTTACGGAACGCTTTTTGGTCGTGTCAAGGGGCGAAGCAGTGGGACAAAACGAACAGGTATCGCACTGCAGACATAGCTGATCAAAGATGAACAGCTCCGCGGATAGATCCGTCACCCCAAACGGATCCTCGAACCTCGTGACTCGGAACTACAGCCAGCCGACGGCCGGCCCAGCTGTCCACCCCATCAGCCGCCTACAGTCCTGCACCCCACCGTTATGTACGCTGGCGCCCAGGGACCTCAGTAGCCGCCCATGACCACCGGCTGTGCGTCTGTGTCCGCAGGCGTTCAGCGACTCCGAGATCAGCGAGGCGCGCGGCCGGCTGGCGCAGCTGCAGACGTTCCAGACGGAGCTGGAGGCTGTGTGGCGCACGTCGCGTTGGCTGACCGACGCCATCGCGTGGGCGCGAGATAAGTCTCAGGTACGGCCGAGCCGGGTCGCCGGCCCTGCGGCGTCCCCCGTGGCCACCGGCCCCAACAGGGCGCGGCCGAGGCAGGGTGGAGTGTGGGTTCAGTGTTGTCCTAGCGTCCAATGCCTCGACGTGGTTCAATGCAGTCCTGGTTTTCTGATGACAAGCAAGGCGTCTGCGAGTCTTGGAGAAGAATGAAGCGGATGCTGTTTTTGTTGGTCAGAAAGTGGCGGTCGGCTGCGGTTCAATCGCTGTGACTGTATATCGAACGGGGTTGGCAGACAGCTTTCGTGCTCGGACAGTTGAGCCGCGTCAGTGGTACGACGCTGCTGCGACACTGGTACGACACTGGGTGAGATGCCGGTCTTACCGCGTGCGGTTGCGCCTGCAGGACGGCTGTCCCCTGTCGTTGGCGGCCCTCCGCTCCTGGGACGGTCGTGACGTCAGCGTGTCTCCGGTCCGAGACGCCAAGCGGCTGCGCAAGGACAACGCGCTGCCGCCGCCCAGCCCCGCCGAGTTCCGCAGGTCGGTTACAGGTGGCGCCGGCGGCGAGGGTCGTTTGATTCTGGGGTGCTCGTGGTGAACTGGTGCGTGAGGACGGCTGCCTGATCCCGGCCGCTGCCCCGGGCGTTTCTGGCCAAATGCAGATTCAAAGGGGTAAATGTACCGCACATGCTATAAAGTATGTGTGACAGACTCTTCTCTGTGCCATGAATACAGTGTTGTGTTTTGTTTGGTTTGGATTTTTATGGCATGGAAGCGTAGTGTGTAGCTTAATTGGTCGCGCATTTGTGGGAACATTTGCTTGTGAGTCGGCGATGTCTTTCATAATGATAAGAGTCAGCGAACATATGGGCCGGTTCACTCGTCAGTGGCGTCGCCGCCGTCACCACTGACCGCCGCGCCGCCCGACAGGTCCAGCTCGCAGCGGCTGCTGAAGCCGCGGCCCGAGTTCCAGAAGTCGCGAACCTCCGAGTGTCTGCTGAAGCCACGTGGCGCCGGCGACGAGGCGCGCGCGCTGCTCGGCTGCGAGGACTCGAGCAGCGAGGACTCGCTGTCGCGACCGCCGGCGGCGGCCGGTGCGCGCGGCGGCGTCGGCGCGCATCTGCTGACCGTGTCGGCCGACCTGCGCAAAAGCTCGGCGCCGGACGTGTACGTGCACGCGGACGTGGAGCGGCAGTGGGGCACGGCGCTCAGCCGCTCCACGCCCAGCTTCGGCGGCGTCGAGCGGCTGGCGCCGCCGAGCCGGCCGTGCGCCCGCGGCGACCGCTCGCCGAGCGACGCCGGCAGCCTGGCGTCGTCGGCGCGCAGTCTGTCCTCCAACGACACGGAGACGGACACGGTAAGCGCGGACGAGGCGGACGAGTCGGCAGCGGCGGCGGCGCCGGGCGAGCTGCAGGTGTTTGCCGCCTACGAGACGGGCCTGGCGGCCGGCACCTCTGTGCGGCTGCACGTGACGCCGCGCACTAGCGCGCGCGAGGTGGTGGACCTAGTGGTAAAGCAGCTCAACATGGCCGTCGTGCTGAAGGGCCGCCAGGGCCCCGTGTACGCGGCCGACCAGCTGCGCGCCTTCTGTCTGGTGGCTGTGATCGGCGCCCGAGAGCGCTGCCTGCGAGACGACTTCCGGCCGCTCCAGCTGCAGAACCCATGGCGGCGCGGCAAGCTGTTTGTGCGCCGGCGCGCCGACGTGCTCGCCGCCATCCAGCAGAACGCTACACGCGGCGCGCCGCTCGTCTGAACAGTGACGTCATGCCGCGACGACCCGTGACGTCATACTCAACCTGCTGTGATCGGCGATCGGAGGATTCTGCGGGGGGCGCCGCCGCCGTCTTGCGGATTGCCGGCTGGAGGATTTGCGATTGTGTCAACATCCCGGGTGTATTTGTCGCTGCGGTGCACTTGTGCTGCCATCTGTGGGGCGCGCAATGATACTGCGCTTACCAATCGAGATTAGCGATGTCGTGTTGTGTGCGCATCCACGACATAAGCGCTTTATTGCGTATATTTATCTGTGTGTCGACGCTGCAGCCCATAAGTTATGTGCGGCGTTGGAGGCGTAGGAAAATAAACCGGGACAGGCAGAGAAATGTTTGTCTCCTCGCCAACAAAGATATTATCCTGGTTGTGCCAGCTGGGGCGGCGACATGTTTGACGATTAAAAGGGTCGCTAATGCATTATAGCCCTCACATCCGCCCTGCTATCCTCTCCATCGCCTTGCCCTCCGTCCTCGCGACATCCCGTTTGTCCTATACAGGCTGCATGGGCCAGCCACGAGCGGCCCGAAGTGCCCCCTGGTGGTGGTCGCCGTCCGGATGCCGAGCACGCATGCCGCGTACAGTCCAAAATATCTCTCTTGTGAACAATGGGGGGTATTGGGGTTAGTTCGCTTCTTATGTTCAAAGCGAGTTCAGTGGTGCCATTTTTATTGGAATTCATGCATGTTTAGCGGTACGCAGAGCTAAAAAATCGGTAGCGTGAAGCTATTTTGGCTCAAGCCCTTAGCGCTCGCTTACGATGCTAGCATTAAATGTTAGACCATAACACCTAGCTGGTCGGTCACTTGGAGTGCGAATAAGAGAGGGAGGGGACAGCGATGCCTAGCAATGAAGAGGTGACTGGCAACAAAAGAAGAAAACAGCGGTGAAATGGATGCAAAGCAAACCCTTGCGGCGAAATTGGCTCGATCGTGTTTGTATGCCAATAAGATGTGAGCTTACGTGATGACCCTTGGGCCCCATCTGACTTCAATTTGACCTCTCTGTCCTCTGTTCTACCTCAACCAAGAAACTAGAAAATGTCAAACCATGTGAAAGAAGTTCACGTGTACCGAGCAGACCTTCGTGCTACGTCGTTGCTCCCCCAAATAATTGTTATGGACACGCATTATACACCGTTGCATTCCGAAGCGTGTTCGACGCACGGTTCTTAAAAGTATTGATCTTCTGCAGTGGCGCTCGTTACCCCTGCGGACAGGCTTGCGTTTTGACTCAACTTTTTTAGTCGGCTCGGAACTGGCTCAGAGGTTTTGGAATCCGATTCAGCTCATGACTCAAAGCCGTTCCAAATGGATTGATTCGGTTTAGTTCAGACTCATTGTTTCCATTGAACCATTTGACTCCTGACTCACGCGGCTTGCGAAACCAAATGTCCGATGTTTCTCTGGCTCGTGTTTATATAATATATAAATATTACACGCGGTGCGTGTCACACAATAACAGCTGCATCATCAGGCAAAACATAATATATGAGACAAAGAACTCACTCGTTCAGTGTAAACCGTTATGGTTTAACATGTTGTTTCTATAGCCTTGTTTTAAACAAACACGAAGAACTTGAAAATGCCACACGTGGACATACAATGACATACGGCCAATTCCACAGGCATGTATCCGTTTATCACAATTTCTAACCGATATGATGAACAGGGGTGGAACGTTTCATGCTTTTGGGGGCTATGCCCCCCTCCCCGCGACAGTGAGCCCAGCCCCCAAAGTTTGGCTGCCCCCCCCCCTCCCAATATTGGGCTGGGGCCTCCAATATTGGACAGAGCTTCCACCATGTGGAACCTGGCGCCTAATACTCATCAGTTCTTTGAAATAAATATAAATTAGTGTTAGGCATACTGGAAATACATTGCATCTTAAAGTTTGTATTTCTATGTGTTCCTAAGACAGGACGAAATTGAATTACTGATCTATTGATTCAAAAGGTTCTTGTACGATGCTGATCTTGTACGAATCATATCAGTGTTCATCAGTCAGTGACCCTGAGCGTCGGCACCGGCAGCTTCGGCTCGCCGTCACCCGCGCTGCCTGTGTCCGGACAGCGCTTGTGATGTTGGCGCAGCCTGGCCGTCAGCGCGTCCTGGCCATTCGGTAGACGGTTGGCTCAAGATGGAACGGGGCGACGCGCGTTAACTGGGGCGAATCTCTGCCGCCGCCTGCCCTAGGTACTGTGTGCGAATGCGACGCGGGCGCCGCCCGCCCTAGGTACTGTGTGCGAGTGTGACGCGGGCGCCGTCTGCCCTAGGTACTGTGTGCGAGTGTGACGCGGGCGCCGCCTGCCCTAGGTACTGTGTGCGAGTGTGACGCGGGCGCCGCCCGCCCTAGGTACTGTGTGCGAGTGTGACGCGGGCGCCGCCTGCCCTAGGTACTGTGTGCGAGTGTGACGCGGGCGCCGCCTGCCCTAGGTACTGTGTGCGAGTGTGACGCGGGCGCCGCCTGTTCTAGGTAATGTGTGCGAGTGTGACGCGGGCGCCGCCTGCCCTAGGTACTGTGTGCGAGTGTGACGCGGGCGCCGCCTGCCCTAGGTACTGTGTGCGAGTGTGACGCGGGCGCCGCCTGTTCTAGGTAATGTGTGCGAGTGTGACGCGGGCGCCGCCTGCCCTAGGTAATGTGTGCGAGTGTGACGCGGGCGCCGCCTGCCCTAGGTACTGTGTGCGAGTGTGACGCGGGCGCCGCCTGCCCTAGGTACTGTGTGCGAGTGTGACGCGGGCGCCGCCTGCCCTAGGTACTGTGTGCGAGTGTGACGCGGGCGCCGCCTGCCCTAGGGGCTGTGCGCGGGTGTGACGCGGGTGCCACCTGCCCTAGGCACTATGCGCGGGTGTGACGCTGGCGCCGCCTGTTCAAGGTACTGTACGCAAGTGTGACGCGGACACCACCTGCCCTAGGTACTGTGCGCAAAAGTGACGCGGACACCACCTGCAAAATATAAAGGACACCGGCTGACCGGCATTAACAACTAGAGATTGTTGGCCATGGTGCGTTAATAAGGTAAGATGATACAGAACCGCAGGGTTTTCACAGCCTGTCCAGTAGGTAAACTGGCGAAATGTTCGACATGTAAGCCATTACCGCTACCATCATACAGGATATTGTGTTTCGCGAGCGACAGTGCTACAGGCAGTTTTTGCCGGCGAACGCCAGCCCCGTAAACCGATGCTTCTCTTCCACCCCCGACCCCCTTCAAGCGCCCTGCTTGCTTCTGTAACACTAAGTGTTTGTCTGCTTCAGCCAGCTGGCGGTATTCCAGGCTGGGGTTCCGAGGCAGGAGCTACAGAACTCAGCAGGCTGAGTTCTGTAGGCCGAGGCCGAGCTGCGCCAAAAAGGCCCATCAGCTGTGGCCAGACTGAACTCATCACAGCTCGCCAGATCGTTCCGATTCCACTGAGATATATATATACTTCCAGATATGGGTTCGACCGTGCGTATCCGCAGAGGTGCATACACATGGGGACGTCCAGGGCCACACGCCTCCCGTTTAATCTTTGTTATTTGGTTACCAAAGTACTAAATTTGTGTGCGGTTTAATGGCATGCACGTGACGAAATATTGACAGTTGAATACTTTACTTGGACACGTCAAAATAAAAAGATCGAGAGCACGTGATGTGATTTGATGGCACAGAGAAGCGCACGCGCGCCGCCTGAACGCTATGCTCGGTTCTCGGGCAAATTTCTTTAGGTTGTGTCCACCACACCGATCGTGAAAGCCTTCGTATACCCCCGCATGTGCTCATCGCTCGTTGCTCACGTTGGTCGCTTATCGGTACGCTTCTGGTGATAGCCATGCCGTGCTTAGTAAGCACAGCGCCCGGCAGTGGGTCTTGGTTGGTAAGATCTCACAGTGAAATTAATTGAATTGGTAAGATAACACATTAAATTGGGTGTTCTGTGTTCATCAATGGGAGTTTCGAAACAAACAGAATATGTTCGAAGATCTCCAAAGTTGGTCATGGTTGTGACGTTAGTTGTGGTTTATGTCGTGTTCAAAGGTAAGAATTCAGCCCGATATTGTGAGTTCTAGAACATATAATGTGACTGTATGTTTGCTAATGGTCGATGTTGATATGAAGAAAATGGTTTAAGGGGGTGCCTGGCCATTCTATTCTATATAGACCATTCTATTCTATCTATCTATATAGACGTCATAGAACATACAAATATATCGGACCACTATCACGCCTTCAGGTTGACCGAGCGTTGCGGAAACTACTGGAAAAACCCAGGTTCTCTCGCATGCTAAAAAACAAAAGCACACAAACCTATCGAGAGTTTCCAAGGAATACGAAGGCGTTGATCTTCTCTCTGCAGAGAGCCACACTTTACAACAACTTCAGATGGGATGTTTTTGTCTCAGGCCATTCTTTTGCGGTTTTTTTTAGAGTCGACGCAAATTATCTCTCGCGAGAACGCTTGATTACCTCCATGATCAACTAATTGGAACATGGAGGCAATCGAGCATTCTCGAGCGAGGTAATTTTCAGTAACGCCGGTTAATAAGAACGTCCCACGACACCACCTCAGGTCCTTTTGAAATATGACTCTCCGCGGAGACCAAACCAATACCTGTGTGTTCTTCCAGGACTATCGAGGGTCTCCCCCATTTTTAAGCCATCATGCTTATAAACTTGCAATAAACGACCATGGAATATACCTCTGATTGTGCTATATGGACGCACCGCCATCGGCACCCGCCAAAGACAAAGCACACACACACGCACACGCACACACACGCACGGTGTGATGTGGGTGTGGGTGTGTGTGTGTGTGTGGGTGTGTGTGTGTGTGTGTGTGTGTGTGTGGGTGTGGGTGTGTGTGTGTGTGTGTGTGTGTGTGTGTGTGTGTGTGTGTGTGCGTGTGACTCCCTTGACCCTGACTGACTCACGGTGACCTCTGCCGCCCCCGACTGCTTGTCATGTCTTGTGACGTTTGTTCTATCCGAAAGCTGCCCGTCCAAACACGCCGGGTTGTCTACATGACTCACATCAGGGCATGGAGTACACGAAAACATGAGCACGTCAAACCGTCTGGTGACCAGAGACCACCAGCGACACCCCTAGCAACAGCCGCGGCAAGATCCAGCAGAGACGCCCAAGCCTCCAGCGTGAGTCAATGAAGATGAGTCCGCCGTCCGCATGCGGTTCGAGAACATGTCAGCTGACATGTTCGCATAGCGGGTCCAGCACACACAATACCAATTGCATTTCGATTTTGAGCCTTACCAGGCGTGAACTTCGGTGCACGTCTAGCGAAACGTGACACTCACCATTTGGCCTGGGGTATCGATGGATATCCAAGGGCAGATGCCAGCATGTATTTCCAACGAAGCAGATCGTACAGAGCACAGAGTGTACAGTGCTG